AGGTTAGGGTTAGATTATCGACATCTGGCGGGTACGTTGTACATTGGCTCTTTTATGGTTGATATATCAATTGTGTTATGAGAACGCAAGGCTTTAGAAATGGGTATTGCACATTTTTTCTTATGTTCAGATGCCAACCACAAAACTCCTAAATCCACTTGTGAAAGAATCCAACTAGGATATGATTTCAACTATTGGGCACGTGATGGATTTAGTATTCTCACTCCACAAGGAAATGTGCAAAAAATGTCTTCCTTATGTTTCTATAGCTAACGCAATTTCACGTCAATGCCACTTTCTTGAGCCCAACGCTGGCTAAGGGCGTGTTATGTCGCATCTGTTACTGTCCCAGATATTTTTCTCTACTGGTCTAGTAAATTCTGTGAGACACTCATATATTAAGCAAATAATTGTGAAGATGTGTTGTAAAACTTTTACTCATCCTTTTTTATTGTACGTTTGTGTGTTGTTGCTTCTTTTCTGTTTTCTTTCTCAACTGCAAACCACTGTCCCCTTTATGGTACCAAATATTGTTGATATGTTTAAAGGGTTGAAGTTAGTACCCGCACAAAGAGTCGATTAAATTGTTGGTGGATGATACGGTTCAATATATCCCAATGAAGATTGTGGTGCCTGCTACTGAGGTTAGAGGTGCCTTGGTAGCACTTTTTTGGTTAAGGTCTTTTATCCTTTCGTTTTTTTTGTGGTTTATGCTGTAATTAGTGGCTGGTTTGTTTGTGTGATCTTCTTTAGTACTTTAGGGTTGGTTAGGTTGGTTTTATGGTCTATTTATATCTATATGTTTCTCAGTAGTCAGGATATAATGCCTGCTGTATCTTTTGCTTGGCTTATTTAGCCTTCTTTGTATTGCCGGGAAAAATAAATAAATACTGAAATGCTCTCAACTTTTCAATGGTTACTACTAACGAAGAACTTCTCAAAAAGATAGATATATATATGTATATACATACACACACTAGTATATATATATATATAAATAATAAAACGCAAATAAAATAGTAATAATGAAATAATTTACTATACTTAATAATTTTAAAATAGTACAATACTATTTTGTTATGTATATTACAATTCACATCCATCTAAAAATTATTTTTTATTTTTTTGTTCAAAACTTAAAAACTTGTAATTGAATTACAAATTGAATATTATTTTATTTTATTCTTAAAATTTTAAATTGAATAAAAATTATGATTTATATGTCTTGGAGAGATGGAGTTAAAAGTTTTTAAAACGCGACTATTTATGTTTCTTTGAAGCTTAAATTGAATACAAGCTTACCCCCCACTCCCACTCCCCCTCCCCCATGTTTGGGTTAAAGACAGATAGATACAATTTAGATACTTTTTGAATAATGACACTCCCCAAGTTTGGTAAATTGAACAACGACACCCCAAATCAAGTTATAAATTGACCATTTTAATCTTCTCAAAGCATTTTAATTTTGTCCATTAAAATACTTATGAACAAGTTACATCCCACAATTTATACTATATCAAATTAATTACAAATTATAGTTTGTCAACAAAAAGCACCATGTTCCGAAAATGAACAAGTTATATTACTCTTTAAAGTGGAATAAACAATTGCATTGGTTAGGTGCAAAATTTATTAATTGATAGAATTATTAAATATTAAAATTTACCAACTTCTGATTGAAAATAAAAAATTTGACATTGAGAAGTGATAGAGAAGATAATAACATCATTATTTTGACACAACTTTCACTTCACGTATGTTTAATAGCATAAATCAAATCTGTAACAAACTCGAGAACCATATAAAAAATAGACAATGAATATTTTCGTGAATAGTTAGTAATATTTGTAGCAGTATATATTATATATTAATTGTAATAATACTATAAGTTTGTTCTAAAGTTTAGGTGAATGAGTTTCTTGCAAAGATAAAAAATAAAAAGTCTTTAGTTGTTGATCAATTAGTATGGGTAGTCTAGGACTTATGAAAGTTAATTTATTTGCAAATAAAGATTACATAATCCTGAATAATCAAAAGAGTGCGAATATAGTGTCTCCCTAAGGTCAATGATTATAATTGTCAAAATAAAGTTGCAGTGTGAAGGTTAATTTTGTCCATTAAAATGTTTTGGGAATGTTAAAATGGTAAATTCATAATTCATATAGGTCAATTCATAAGCCAAAGGGCACTAAGACACATTTACTTTGATTTGGGGTGTCATTGTTCAGTTTCCCAAACTTGGGGGGTGTTGTTGTCCAAAAAGTGTTTAAGTTGTAGCTACATGCCTTTTAACCCAAACTTAGGGGGTGTGAGTGCAATTTACCAACTGTTTATGTTTCTTTAAAGCTTAAATTGAATAGAATCTTATTTCATATTTATATTTATTGTACAAATTCCAAGCGATTAGGAAGCAATTCCAAGAGGTGTACGAATGTATATTAAAATGTCTACACGTTTTTAATATTAGTATGATATATATATATATATATATATATATATATATATGTACATATACATATACATACATATGTATGTATATGTATATGTACATATATTCAAAATTATGTTTATCTTATTCAATATTATATTTACTGGGCAATTTCAAGAGGTGTAAAAATCTATAATTATAATAACAAGGTCATTTGAGTAATTTTTTTCATTAAATGGTAGTTTGGGTATTTATAAATTATTCCATTAACAAACTTAACTCTAACTAATGTCAGGGGCAGTCAAAGAAATTTGGACAAACTTCAAGGAGTGTAAGGGACTTTTAATCATAGTTTCAGCAGGGAGATATTTGGACAAACTTCAGGGAGAGGTTGGGTGTTTCACCATGAGTGTTAATAGATTTATATATATATATATCTCTTTTATTCTTAATATAATTAAGTTGTTTTTATTGGTTAAATCATAAAAGATGACTCATCTTTCACTTAGTTTTCAAATTTTTTTTAAAAATATAATATAATATAATTATTATATTGGTTAATTTCCAAAACACACGGATCATTCCAAAAGTGTCATGTCTCGGATTTTTTCAATATTTTTTTGGACATTTTTTATTTTATTTTATTTATGCATGGAGATGCGTGTCATGATATTTTGGGAGTTGTTTGTGATGTTTCTTTGGGTTTAGAACCCTGAGAAACTCATTAGGGTTCATTGCGGTCGTTTTTGGTTTTCGTGCTCGCAAGGGTCCGAGTGGACCCCGCGATGGGATCTTTGTGTTCGGAAAATTTATCGACATCAGTATTTATTTCATTTATATTTTAGGATATCATTTAACAATGCATTGCATCATTTTTGGGCGTTCCAGGATAATCAATAATACTCTATATGCAATCCAAGCATTTAGAAAACAATAACCCAGCTTTTTTATAACATTTAATACCTCAATTGCTTTTTTGGTTCTTCTTGGTAAAACTTTTCTTTAAGACTTGTTAACTCTGAAAATAATTATTTCCCATCAAAATCAGAAACCATATAATGTTTTAGGAAATATTCATGGTTATTTTGGAAAATGTGACGATTGATTGTACCTAAGAGTTAAAATTTTGGTTGTTTATATTTGGCTTAACGGAATCTGTCATGCATGCACATGAGCCCAAAAATAATATAATACGGAGTAATAAAATAAAGGGTTAAGTGCAAAAAAAACCCCTAAACTATTGCTATTTTGCAAATAACCTCTTGAACTAAAAACTGTCTCCCTAAACTATTGATTTGTTGCAATTAAGGACCATTTTATCACAAAAGACTATTTTACCCTTTTCTCATTAAAATTTTTATTTCTTATTAAATTATTTTTATTATCTTTTCTCTTTTGTAAATATTAATTATAACATTTACCTTAATTTTATTATTAGTATCAATTTATCATAAAAGTGAAAAAAATAGATAAATAGATTTGTAACTACCATTTTCTAAATTGATTAACTTATTATTAAAATTTATTATTTATAATAAAATGTATTATAACCAATTTAAACATTTTTATCGTAAAAAAATATCATCTTTTTTCATACAATATATTATGAAAAACTAATAAAATACTTTTGAAAAAAATACCATCTTTTCATGTAATATATTCATTAAAAATTAAAAAATTAATTAATTTTTAAAAAAGATTCTACTAAATTTTTTTATTTAAATAATTAATTTGAAAAATTAAAGGTAAATTTATGCAAATTTAATGAAAAATATCTCATCAAATGAGTATGAATTTTTTCATAATTTATTTAGATAAGAAAAATATATTAAATATAATTCAATGAGAAGGGGCATTATGGTCATTTAATGAAATATAGTTTAGTCCTTGGAATATGTTGCAACAAAATGACATAGTTTAGGAAGTTTTATGCGCAAAATATAGTTCAAGGGGGTTAGTTGCAAATTAAAACATAGTTCAACATGTTTTTTTTTGCACTTTATCATAAAATAAACAAGTTTCTAAGTTTAAATATAGATTTTTTAATTTTAATTTTATTTTTTTATGGAAGGGGACAGAAAAAAATTATTATATACAAATTATTGTATTATATATATATATATATATATATATATATATATATATATATATAAATATTATAAGCGCCTGTGTTTATTGCCATAATAATAATTATATTTTTTTTGTAAGTTTTTATTGCTATAAATTTACCATATATATAAATTAATATTGTATTTTAATTATGATCAAGTATACATATTACTATATTTGTATTACTTAGGTATGATTCTAAATTTGAGACCCTTCAAATTAGAAACATCTTGGTTGCCTTATCCAGGACCGCACTTGCATAATATATAATTTTTTTAATCCCGACATAATATATAATTCCAAAACCGTCTTTTAGGTTGAGTTGGCTTGGCTATGCTTTAATGCTACCCACACCACACTTGGACTCGAAGCGTACCAAATAAGAATCCGTTTCTCTCTACTCTCTCTCCTGTCCTCGAATTCTATATTGTCTCAGTCATTCACGGGACTGCACAAAAGTAGGTGAAAAGCAAACCACAACTAAAAAACATTACCATATTACCACGACAACCACTATTGAATTGCACTCCACCTAATCTTATTAACAAAAACACAAATACACAAACTAAGAGATAGAAAAAGTAGAGAGTGTAGAGAGAGAGAGTGGTAGCTTTGGTTGGTGCTTCTTCTACATCTATCCATCCCATCCGAACCCTAGATTTCAAATTCCTCTCTGTAGCTCTCCAGATCCGCCGGCGATTCTCCACCGGAGCCCGCTCTCCGATCCGAGTCCACTCAATGGGTGACCACGCCGACTCGTTCGGTTAAAATGTTGGTCACTCTCAGTGCTTTCACTTCGATTGGTCACACGTTCAATGTCATAGTTTCAGTAGCTTTTTTGGTGCTGTCTGAAAATGTCGGCTTCGTTGGCGGCTTTCGAGCGGCCCAGAATTGGAGCTACAAACACGGTATGTTTTTTCTTTGTCTCTCCCTCTTCGTTTTGTTGCCAATTATAAGAGCAGTAAAAAAAAAAAGAAAAAGCTTTTGACCTTTCATGTGAATTAAGCCAAGTTGTTGTATGAAGCTCAGTTGAGAGAAAATCTGAGGAATTCAAAATTTAAATTCCATACTTTTCCAACATTATCTCAGTAACCCATCAGAACACTAAGATCCTCTCTTTCAAGCTTCCCTTAAACCATCTTAGTATGGAAGGAAATATGAGAGTAAAATTTTTTAAAATTTCCCTCTTTTAGTACTTATTCTCAGCAACCAATCAGAACGCTACTGGAATATTTGAGTCTTTGATATTACAGTTATGCTGTTATAATGATAATTATTCCCTTTACAAGCATCGCCTTTTGTATCAATTGTTGTTAATTATGGGTATTTGATTGCTTGATTGTGATGATAATGTTGGACATCCTTTTCCTGCCCCTCAATTAGTAAATTTTGAACTAATGGGACTTATTTTTGAAATAGAGATTTTAAAATGGAGGTCACATATGGTGTTTGTAAAAACTATTTGCTCAACGTGGCATTGTGAAACCAATCTACATTCGTGCTTGCAGCAGTGAGAATAAAGTGTATTTTTTTTAATTAATCTAAACAGTAAAAAGTTGGGTTCTTTTATATAAACATGCATAAACAGAGGTGCATGAGTAAATAAATATAATATGAGTGAACTTCTTTCCACTTATCAGAACCTGGGAATAACAGTCTTAATCATCTCATGTCAATGCAAATTGTTCAATAAGATGGTTTACCATTAGTACATTATAAAGGATAAAGAAGCTCATCTAACAGCTTCGACATTGTTGTTTTCTTGATTATATGCTTAATTGGTGCAAATGGGGCTGGATGATTTGGCAATATATACATGTTCACTATGTATTCTTTGAAGTAACTCTACATTGTGTTTTATTAAAAGGTGATATCCGTTCTTTAGTTTTGTACTTAACTCTGACTTTTTTGTTGGTGTGGAGGTTGGACATTTAATATAATATATAAGTTTTAATCAAAATACAAGGGATTGAGTCTTGATTTGAAAAAAATATGAATTGTTCTCTTTCATCTATTCCCCTTGTAACAAAGAATGAATAATGCTAACAGTAAAGATAATGAAAAAACCTCCTGAAGAAATTTGCTTTGGTTTTCCTCGAATTTTAAAAATTATTTAGTTACAAAATATAGTAAATTAAATTGAATAACTACTTCATTCTCCTAGACCTTCACTTTTCAACAAATAAAATTCTTCTAGGACTTCCATGATGGGGCACAACTACTGGCACCACTGCCATCATCACTCCCGTTATTGCTATTACCCCCACCACTTTGCCCTCAACTATTGGTGTCAAGTACCATCACCATTACAAGTAACATTTACAACTGTTAGTCCCACCACTTTGAACACCTCAACTACTCCTATCACATGGTTGTTATTTACACTCTTCTCCGATCTTTACCCCCACCGTAGTTGTTGCCACTACTATCATCACATCATCTTTATTGGTGCTCCATCACTAACACGGCCATTTTTTCCACTTTCAATCTGTCATTACTAAACATTAAGTTATTAATTATATAATTCTTAGATTAAATTATATTTCTTGAATAATTGAAACACCAATGACCCATCCAAACAGTGAAATGGGGTAGGGCGGGGTGGGGTTGGGGATCAGGCTTATGGATATGTTCAACAAGGATTTGTTGGGCCAGTGGTTATGGAGTTTGGGGGTTTAGAGATATAGGCTTTGGAGGAGGGTTATTAGTTGCAAATTTGTGGATGCCAGGGGTGGTTGGTGCTCTTTAGAGGTGAGGGTCTTGGTAGGGGTGGGGGTCTAGGAGTTCATTCGGAAGGGCGGAATGATTTTTCAAAACAAATTCGGTTTAGAGTGAAGAGTGGGAGGCATATTAAGTTTTGGGTGGATGAGTGGTGCGGTAGTAGACCGTTAGCTGGTGCTTTTTTGGGATATTCAGTGTGCAAAACTTCATTAGGATTGGGAGGTGGAGGACTTTTGCAGTTCTTGGATTTGTTATGTAGTCACCGGATAGACGGATAGGGGGAGAATGAGTGGACTTGGGCGATTACCACTCATGGGAGATATGAGGTTCGTTCTTTTTATTGGAAGCTGTTGGATATGTAGGGCTCTGCCTTCCCCTGGAAGGCTCTTTTGGTGCACAAAAGCCCCTCTCGAGGTGGCTTTTTCCAGCTAGACGACTCTGTTGGAGAGGATTCTGACGATCGATAATCTAAAGAGAAGACGATAGATAATTGTCAATTGGTGTTGCATGTGCAAGAGGGGCGAGGAGATGGTAAATCAAATTCTCTTGCATTGGCCAGTGGCTAGGGAGGATTGGAACTTACTCATAGCCTTGTTTAATGTGAGTTGGGTCATATCATTTTCCACGAGGAGCATGTTTGGAGCTTGGTGAGGTTGTATACTATATAGTGGGAAAGCAAGCTCGAGATGCTTATAGGGTTGTCCCCTTTTATTTGTGGTGGGGTCTATGGTGGGAGAACATCAGATCCTTTGAAGGGGAGGAAACTCCTATTTGGGCATTCAAATTCTATGTACTTAGTTTGTTATTTTTTGGACTCATGGGTGGGTTTGTAAGTCTGTGGAGGATCTCTTGATTTTTTTAAAATATATTTTTTTTGGAATAGTTTGAGGTTATGGTGCCTTTTTGGATTGTGTGCAGTTGTGTCCAGGATGCACTTCCCTTTTGAACATTTTCTATAAAATCTTTACTTGTCAAAAAAAGGAAAGAAAGAAAAAAGTGCAGTTTAATAATTTTCAAATTCTAGATATTGTTCATATATTATTTCCATAAGCTTCCTGTTTATTCCACAACTTAAAATTGCAATTTATTACTAACAAAAATAAAAGAAATCAGCTGAAATTCTAAACATTGGGCCGACATTTTCATTAAGAAAAAAGTCGGTGGTTCTGTCTTGACTCAACTTCTCAACATAGTGTTTTGCCAACTATTTGAGTTCAGTTATAAGAATCCTATTTTGTCATTCTACCCTATTTAAGGCCATAACCTTATTTAAGCTTGAAAACATCATATCTTTCTTAATTATCTCAGCTCATCTTAGTTTTGGCCTTTCTCTTCCTGTAGGATTACCCTTAATATGGATTGTGTCACTCTTCCACCTGTGGTAATGGTATTGACCGTTGCTGCATTTGCCCAAACCATGCTAATTGATTTTCTTGCATTGTTTCTCCAATTGATTCTACTTCAACTATTTTAGGATTGTTTTATAGTAGGTGGTCTTGTGTAAATATAGAGAAATGGACCAATAGCCAATGGTCGTTAACTGCTTGAAATACATTGGGAACATCATTGATCATTGTAAAAGTTCAATCTGCCTTTTATTCTCTTTCCTATCTTTCAAATGTTAGTTTGATACCTATGGCTTTTATTCTTACCATATGTAAGAAATTTATCTTTAATGAACTGCATATGAGCCAAAGGTTGATGAATTCTTGTAATATGCAGACACATGCTAAAAATAACTTCTAAAACCGTGCAGATCCAACATAATTTTGTGCATACCACAGTAACTAAAAAATCTTCATAGGCAAGCTTGATTTGTTACTTTCATGATATTTAATAACTGGAAAACATTTATGTTGAAACATATATATATATATATTTTCTTCTTTAATTTCAGATAATTTAGATTTCTTAGTGGCCCCCATCAATGCACGCTCTCTATATGTTTTATGACCTCTATTCTTTCATGGTTTTCAACTTATGAGATATGTACAGGTTTTCAAGAGCGGGCCTCTTTTCATATCTTCAAAAGGTTAGTAAATGCTTGTCTTTCTTCCCGAAGCTTTTTTCTTATTCCTTCAATTCTTTTGGCTTGCCAATTGTAATTTATTCATTTGGACTCATGGCTTGTGTAATTAAATTGTTTCATGCCTTAAAACTTCTGTGTGTTGTGCAGTTGTTGCTTCAGTTTCTGAATGGCGTACCTTATTGCTTCACCTATTGTTTTGTATCTGTTGACAGTTGACAATTCAATATATATATATATATATGGTTTTGGGCTTGGCCAGAATTCCCACCAAAATTCTGACATACTTGGACCAAATCTTTGTCTTCACAAGTTGAAGTTTACCTCCACTTAAAAATAGTTTGTATTGCATGCAATGGTGAAGACACTATTGCTATGAGCTTATGTTAGTAGAGCTAAAAATATATTTAGTTTTATGATCAAAATACTTGCATGTATGGTTCCTTAATAACATATTTTGTCAGTAATACTTATGAGTGGAGTGGGCTTGACCTGAGTTACTATCCAATCCAAACTCCATTTTAACGACATTAGATTTTAATTTTGAAACCGAATTCTAAGATGTATTGGATATAAATTTTCCTGGAAAGATCCATCACGGAAGTGGGTTTTATTCAATAAACATGAAATGGATTGTTCCCAACCCGAGATCTGACCCAAATCAAGGATATTTTTCATTATTTGGATCCTGTTTGGATTGTACGGGTCGATATGGGTCGTGTCTATAGGATCCAAATCGAATCAGATCCCAATTTTGATCATGAGATTAAAAGATCTGGACTCGGATTCACGTGAATTTGCTCCAGATTTTCTCCTCTTTGTCCTTTTAGTTGCCAGGAATGTGGTTTCTAGCGTGAACACCCATGCATGCCCAGGAATACTAGGAGTTGAATATTCCCATTCCCATGTTTGGATATCTTTGTGAATAAGTCTTAAAAAAATATTTAAGTCTGATTACCATACTTGGTTCAATCTTATATAACGTGCAAATAAATCAGTCTCTGAATAAAATTTCAAAAAGAGAATTGTTTACCTTATTAATTGGTGGGTCCAAATATTCCTGTACAAGCTCAACGTCAATAACATTGATAAATTTAGTAATTATTATTTTTTAGTTTTTTAAATGAATTAGGCTTCTTGTTATGAGTCTTCTGATACAATTTTAATGTAGAGTTGTTTACCTGAACAGACTAGATTCTATTCCAACATCACCCATTTTGTAAAATCCACGAATCATCAAATTCCAAACAGTCACATCCTTGTGAGTCATTGCATCGGACACCTTTTTCGCCACCTACATTCTCTCACAACTTATATATAAGTCAGCAATCCCAATTCAAATTGAAGCAAAATATTAAAACCCAAGAGTCAGAATCACCCATTTTGAGATCAACAACATTTGAATATGATTTAAACAGAGGGAAAAGGTGAATTGAAGCAAACAGTTACATCCTTGTGAGGATTGCATCACCTTTTTTGCCTCCTCCATTCCCTCACAACTAGTATACGACTCTACAATCCCAATTCAAATTGAAGCAAAACATTCAAACCCAACAGTCAGAATCACCTATTTTGAGATCAACAGGATTTGAACACGACTTAAGCAGAGGGAAAAAGTGAATTGAAGCAAACAGTCACATCCTTGTGAGGCATTGCATCAAACACCTTTTTTGCCTCCTCCATTCTCTCACAACTAGTATACGACTTAACAATCCCAATTCGAATTGAAGCAAAGCATTCAAACCCAAGAGTCAGAATCACCCATTTTGAGATCAACAAGATTTGAACACGAATTAAGCAGAGGGAAAAAGTGAATTCATCAGGCCAAATACCACGTTTTTTCATGACTGAGAACAAATGAAGGGACTCTTGAAAGGGTTCACCTAGAGAATGGCCTTTGATCATGGAATTGAAGAGGAAGATGTTGGGATTTTGGGTTTGGTGAAAGACGAGATTTGTGTATGCCATTTTGTTGAAAGAGCCACAAACGGAGACAAAATGGGCAGGAATTTGGTTGGATTGGTGGAGGTGGCGGTGGAGGAAGTGGTTGTGGATTTGAGCTAGCTGGGTTTGGGATTTGCAGCCGTGGAGGGTCAGATGGGGTTGTTGGGGGTGGGTTAAGTGGTTAACACACAAAAAAGGTCTAGGAATCCTTTTTCTTTCTTTACGTTTTTCTTTGGCATTACAAAACAATATGTTTGTCTCATTTTCTCGCCTAGTATTAGGTTAATCTTGGGTTTTCCTTTTTTGGTAACTGACCTTTGTCCTACCCATGAGTTTGTTTTTTGGATCTATAAGAGAACAATTCACAAAACGAATAATTTAATGCTGTATCTAGATTTCAGCCAACCTGTTAATCTTTCAGCATGGCATATTGATTACTTCTGTTATGAATTTTAACTCTTGCCGTCATGACGTGCTCTTGTAAACTAATGCTAAAACTCCTGCAGGACTAGGTTGGAAGTCTTGGAAGAAGCGTTGGTTCATCCTAACACGCACTTCTTTGGTCTTTTTCAAAAACGATCCTGTTAGTATAAATGTATTTGTTTTTGTTTCATTTTGAGATGTGTTAATATGGTATATGTTCTTTCTTGCATTAAGTTGTTCTTTCCTTAGTTTTTTTTTGCATTATTGAAGAAATGCTACTTCACAACAACTCAACTCAATAAAGCCTTTTCTCAACTACTTGGGGTCGGCTATTGGAATCCTATATTTCCATTCCGCTCTATCTAAGGCCACAGCCTCAGTCGAAGCTTATATTATCATATATTTCCTTACTAACTCTATCCATGTTAATTTTGGTCCATGACACTCTTCTTAACTGGTGCACTTAGTGGGCTTCTTTGCAAATATTGAAATGATTGTAATCGATTTTCTCATTTTATCTCTAGTTGGTGCTACCTCAGCTATCTCACAAATGTGTTTATTTCTATTTCTGTGATTTCTTGTCTTGATGCACATCTATCACACCACTCGCATTTCCAGGTTTCCGTGTGGGGGATGGACCACTTGCTCCTTCATTGTTGAGTGGCTTCGATTCCTTGGTTTTCCATCTTTTCTATATGCGGAGCCTGACTGGTGTTGTCATGGAGGCCATGTACTTTGCTTCTGGTTTGGTGGACTAGTGTTTGACTAGAGATAAAAAACCGTGTGGAATCCATGCCACGTACTAACTTGGGGCCTGTGGAAGGCGTGGTATAAAAGAATTTCTTGATGATAGGAGATGAACTTGGAAATTGGAATAGGTTATTCTTAGGACATTTTGCTTTGGAAGATTTTTGAGGACTATAGGCTGGAGATCTGCTGATTAGATGAGCTTTGCTTGTAATGTTCTGCTTTTGTTCTTGTGTATACCTGGTGCGTACGTGGGCGTTTTTCCCATTTTTCAACAATTTCCTAATTCATCATAAAGGGAAAAAAAGGATGAAAAATACATACATTGAGTATTCATTGACTTCTCTTCGTCTCTTCACTCATGTAGTCATGTGCGAAACCCATTTCCTTAAGGAAAATGGTCATTTATAATCCATACCATTACTTCTGTCTTCCACAGCGTTAACATCTAAATCTTGTATCTTACTGACATACCCAGTTAATTGAACACTAAATGCGCAAGAAAATGATATTCCATTGGTTTTGCATTTGGTCATTTGAAACTGTTGGAATGGTACTTGTCATGTATTAGATCTTGACTAAAAATGCATTTTGCTGATTTCTTCTTGTCTCAGATATTGACTTCTATGGTTCAATCCCCTGTCTGAATCGATGCATAAATACAATTTTGGCTGTATTATCTTACGTGAATAGGTGTTAATTCTCTTAGTTTCTATGTAGAGTGCACTTCCCCAGAGAGGTGGTGAAGTAAATCTGACTTTGGGTGGTATCGACTTGAATAATTCAGGGAGGTATGTGTGGGTGGTTTCTGCATGTTGTTTTGAGCTAGTATTACCATCCAAATGGCTTATCGCAACTTTTAAATTTGCAGTGTGGTTGTTAGAGAGGATAAAAAGCTGTTAACTGTACTGTTTCCTGATGGACGTGATGGGCGAGCATTTACACTTAAGGTGCGATATTGACTACATAGTTTTTGTTAATCTTTTCGTTTTTTCTAAATTTCTTCTTCCCCTTTCATGAGTATGATATTCAATTTGCATTGTCTTTCTTTTGTATATTCTTATATTTTTAGGCAGAGTCGTCAGAGGACTTGTATGAGTGGAAGACGGCCCTGGAACATGCTCTTGCACAGGCACCTAGTGCTGCCTTAGTGATGGGGCACAACGGGATTTTTCGGAATGACACAAATAATTCAATTGAAGGGTCTTTCCATCAATGTTTGTACATCATTGCCTCAACTTCTTCTTCTTCTTCTTTTCTTCATGTTTATCAATTAATATTTTATTAGATCTTTTATTTATTTATTTATTTATTTGAGTACTTTTTGTAGCAAAAACCAGTCTTCCTTATTGAACTGAATTTTCACTGAATTTTGTATATTTCATTAAGGGAGGGATAAGCGTCCTGTAAAATCTTTGGTTGTTGGACGGCCAATTTTGCTAGCACTAGAAGATATAGATGGAGGTCCATCTTTTCTTGAAAAAGCTCTTCGATTTCTTGAGAAGTATGGTAAGTTTTTATTTGACTATTATGGGGATCCTTTTTTCCTACATTGACATGCTTTTGTTGGTTTTATTTCTACTACAATAACATACATATATATATATTGATTTAAAGATTTGCTATAATAACCTGTACTTGAGAATTTATATTGCTAATGAGTTGTTTGACAAGAACAATTACGCCAAACAATTATTTATGAACTCAAAAAGCTAATGATTTAGTTTGGAATGAAGTACAGTCAAATAGACAAAAGGACTATACTTTCCTTAGGTTCCTTTCTGACCCTTAATTCTTCAAGATTAAAACCCTTGTAAGAAGATAAGTCCAATGAGCATAAGCTGATCATGTTTATAATCCAGTGAAATTTACCATTTCTAACAGGAACTAAGGTTGAAGGAATTTTGCGACAGTCTGCAGATGTTGAGGAGGTGGACCGCAGGGTTCAGGAATACGAACAAGGTCTCCACTTTCCTCAATTTGTCAATTTTCTTTCATTTAAGAGGTTCCATTTAAGTTATTTTTTCTATTGAGATTATTACTAATTTTCCTAGAAAATAGTTTTTCCCCCTTCTTCTTGGCAATATATAGTAGAGAGCCAAACATTTTACTTTATAACTCGATTCTCCCTATTATTCTTTCTTTTGTTTGTTTGATATTTGTATTCAAAATCAAAATCATTTTGTTTTGTGGCAACTTTTTTACACTATTTGTTTGTGTAAACACATTGTTTACTGACTGAGGCCTAATTGTTTGCAGGCAAGACTGAATTTGATTCTGATGAGGATGCTCATGTTGTTGGTGACTGTGTTAAGGTAATCTGCCGGTATTGGATGTAACTTATGACTTACAGATCGGTGCTTCTTTTGAATGACATGTAGATTAATGTCCATCCTACCTCTGTCATGCAGCATGTTCTCCGGGAACTACCCTCATCTCCTGTTCCTGCTTCCTGCTGTACTGCTTTGCTGGAGGCTTATAGTAAGTTACACTTTTGTTTTCTTTAGAAGAAAAAAGGTTATCAAAACCTAGGTTATACTGAATGCTGTTCCTGTTAGCTTTTCGACATCTATTTGTTCTAAGTTCTCCCAATATTGTAACTTCCTGGGTTAGCATTCTCATATTATCTTTATGTAGTTTGTAAAGGTATTTCTTTTTTCCCATAAGTATGTAGTTGTTAAGTTATTATGTATTTGTTTATTGAAGATATGGTAATTAATTTGCTGATATGGATGCTTTTTAGAATTTTTTGTTTTGTAATTGGTTCTAACGTTGGAGAGTGTGAAATATGAGTGCCATACCCAAGGCTCTGATACGTAGAGTGCGCACATTCAATTAGATCTAGAGGGGGATGAATGGGTATGATGAATATTAATTTGAAGCTAGCTTTTCAAATTACGATTAATTCTTAAAAGTCTGTTAATTAATTAGTCACGTTTCTTAATTGTTGTAATCACGTAAACACATAAAATTATAAATAAAATAAGTAGAGGTATGCAATATTTTTTACGTGGAAATCCTTAGAATGAAAAAGTCATAAGACCTAATTCAGATAGATCACAATCCACTTCGTGAGAAAGAGGTTAAAACTGATTTACCATATTTCACCATAAGATCACCTAGCCCCTCCCGACTCAAACTTCCAGCCATTGATCCATTGACAGACTCGCTCCTCATGGAATTTGTTTCTACATTTACTTTGGACTTTTGATCTCCACAACTATCAAGTCTGATCAATTTTTTTCTTTACGAACCACCTAGTTGATTCTCTGATGGACAATTATTGTCCTTTGATTCTCTCAATCACATATAATATGGTAATATAAAAAACACCTTTGATTGTGTCTCAAAGTTCTCTCTCTCCAAAAATATAAATTCTGCCAATAATGTGTAAAAAATTTAAATCCCTTGTGAGAGATACTCTAGTCTGACTATAGGAGGATGCATATAGTATTTTGTAAGTCAAATCCTTATATAATTTTGCTTTGATAAAGTTTCCAACTTTCCATGAAAGTGGTTCCACAGGTTCGATCAATCGACACTTTGGTTGAGCACTACTGCCACTGCTTCGATCAGTTGAGCCTTCGAATTGAAGCCTACTGGATTTCAATAAAAATTTCCTTAAAATCTCGATGGATCCACCATTCAATCAATGCTCAGGGTTATGTAAAAATCCTCAATTTCAAAAATCATTATATCAAAAATCCCATTTTTGATAAAAGATTAAGATAAAGAAAACATACATAGGTCATGGTTGGTTTCTATGGTCTCAATTACCTTTAATCTAGATATGTGATTGAGTCCTGAGAGATTTTCGGCATGTTCTTCCTTGTTTTTCGTCTCCATTTTCTTTAAGTGGTTGTAGACAAACAATTTAAGACATTGACAAACACTACAATCCAAGTTATGAGTAGGAATTTTACAACACATTACTCATATTCCTAACAAAAATGATAATTTGCCTCTGCTTAACACATAGCTCTCTCTTAATGTTGTTGCCTTCTTCGTGCTCTAGTTTGATTGAATGCCAACTTATTTATCGTTGCTGCTACGTTACGAATCACTGATAATAAAGATCGTCAATGCTTATCCAAAGCATGAATTTTTTTTTTATGAAAAATTTCTATTATTCTATGAAATAAACTCTCTCATCAAGTTACTGATTGGTTTGGAATCCACTTTGAGGGATGCGTTCCCCTATTTAACGCTTTACAATCTTACTTATCAAAAAAAAAAGAAAGAAAGAAAAAAGGTTAAAGGGATAATTTCTCTAAGTTGTGCTGTACAGAAGTAGTGTGGAAGTTTAATCTTAGTAGGATAACCTAGAAGGGGGGTGAATAGGTCTAGTTTGCTCACTTGATTAATTTTTAGATTATTTTTTATTTTAACAAACTGAAGCACAATAATATTAAATAGAAAAGTAGAGAGATAGACACCAGAGTTTTTGATGTGGAAAACCTCAGCGTGGAAAAACCACAGAGACCTAGTTGTCTTTGGCGAAACAATCCACTAAAACTGAGAAAGAGTACGAGTTCCGGTGCTCTTGGAACTCCATGAGTCTGTGATTCTAGTGCATTTGGAATCAACTGCTGTTGCTTTACCTCCGAAGCTCAGTGCCCTCTGACTCCAGTGCATTTTAGAATGATTAGCAACCCTGATCCACCACAACGTAATCACATCACGATCATCCGCTTTTCCTATTGATTGATCGCCTTGTCTTCCACTAACCGTGGAAAGATGCGAGTGAAGTCTGCTGCTCTGATCAATTGAATAGCTCCATTGTAAGCTCACGATACTGTCGATCAGATCTAGAGCATCACACTAAACACTCAGTGTGAACTTGTTACCTTAATATAAAAGAAACAAATTCAGAAAAATCTCAGCTTCATTTTTCTCACAAAGCTCTGAAGATATTCAATAAAAGCTCTGGTTTCCATCCTTAACCTTATCAAAGCTGAGTATTTATATGCAAGAGAGTCCTTAAAAAGTGTTGAAAGAGAAGTCTAAAAGCATTAGAGGACGTCTCTTGAGTTTGGGCTGAAGTTGGAATCAAAATCCTCTCAGAAAGATAAGTTTTCGATCTTATGTGAAACAGATTGAGCTGGCTGGGCCAAAACCACAACCGGTTGAGTATCTCTCTGGAGTTTAATATAAAATTTTTAGAGGCAAGTACAATCAGTTGGGTTTTTGACCAACCTGTTGTGTACAACTGGTTGGTGATTTGGCCCAACCGGCTGTGAAGCATTCTGAAGTGATCCGAATGCCCAACAAAATAAATTCACAGTTGGGCAAATCAACCAACCGGTAGTAAGGCATTCTGATTGACTGTTTGTTATTTTACCAAATTCCAAGATCCTTCAACCAAACCAACTTTTGAAACAACTGTACTCACAGTCTCACTCATTCACTCGCTTACCTGATCTAAGTGATTGTAAAATTTGATCTATATGTATTGAGCTCATGTCAATCACTTGCCGTTCAGCTTCCAAAAATGAGACTGAAGATAAACATAAAATTATAACCCGATTAAACTCATTACGAACATACCTTTTATTAGCATTGAGAATATCTCATAGAAAGATATTATATAATTTTAACCAATTTGGCCATAATTGCCTCAAGTGGCTATCTGGATGACATACGTTTCTGTTGGTTCTGTACCACACTACCCGTTTACATGAAGATACTATTAGAACGACAATGAATAGTCTTATCATCAAAGATGTGCTTGGCAGCATCGAGAGTTTCACGATATTTCTGTCTACAGTTACTTATTCACTGAGGTAACGCTTTAAGCAGATTATGGCCTTTAGTTTTGTAAATTTAATATGGAAGATAATGATTGGAAGATGGAACAAGTTCAGAATGGTCAAGGTTTGATGGCATTAAGATTTAGAAGGCTGCATGCTAGACCGCTGGACTTCTGTTACGTCAGCTGTAAATAGATGTAGATGTGGAATAAAAGGATGAAGGAGGAGGAGAAGAACCTTGAGTTGGCTTTAACTAAACTCTTAAAATATTAACGCACATTAGTTTCGTCATGGTACACTCTATAGAATCTCAAAACCTTTCTATTCAAGTAGAAACCTTCTAAATACTAACTGATATATGCAGTAAACAAATAGGACGACTTCTTTTTTGTTGGGTTCTTGAGAGAAACTGTAAATCTATGGGGGAGATAGTTGATTTTTTTCGGGATATATTGAGAGTTTAGGGGCCTTGTTTGGCCCTTTTGTAGCTTTTGCAGGATGCGTTCCCCTTTTTGAACGCTTTCTAATGACTACTTATATAAAATAAAAAAAAAAAAAAAAAAATCTAATGGTGAAAAGTATCCTTGTAAATGTAATGGTAAATCAACCCTATAAAACACTGCTAATTGCTGTCAGAAGAGGAACCCTTAAGCCTAGAGGTCATTAGAGAATATAGAGTGTAAAACAAATGGAAAATTCTTATAGTATAGCAAATTTCCGTCAAAGATTCAAATATCTAGATAAGACTCAACTAATTTGAGTTAGTAGGAAATTGGCAGGATGCTGGAAATAATACACTTAATTCTGTTAAACAGTGTGTTACAGCTTTTGTTTCGGTCTTCTAAGTCCATTTTCTTACTTTTTTCCAATAAATTTCAGGTTATGTTTTTTTGAATGATGTATTTGTGTATTACATGTTACATGTATTGTTAAATTGATGTTGTTGCTTTGCTCTTGCCTCAATTAGAAATTGATCGCAAGGAAGCTCGGGTAAATGCTATGCGCTCCGCAATAATGGAGACGTTTCCTGAACCAAACAGGCGTTTATTACAGAGGTAATCTCTCTCTCAATTATTGTTGTACTCTTTTGTTTTGCAATTGCATCTTTACAGTTTTTGTGCTGCTGTGTTTCATATTCCAGTCATTGACATATACATTTTAATTTTGTTTCATTGTTACCTTAATATGTATTTTGATCATAATTATTGTAGTGTTTACGTCTTTGTTTATTTTGTTGCAAACTGTTTTGCTATGACGCTAGTTTCTTGGAAATTAAACAATTCTGCTTTTTACGGTAATGGCAAATTCAGTAAAATGATCATACTAAAAAATATGGTAATACACTACTCAATGAACAAATATGGGAAAAAGATATTTGCTAAATGCTTCTTTCGTAGATATAAGAAGATTAATTATAGGTCTTGCCTTGGTATGTGCTTTATGCAGGAGGGGCACCTCTTTAAATCTATTGTTAGCAATAGAATTTTTCACCATCAGAAGAATTTGAAATTGAATGGCTGAAACCACCAAGCTGATTGTTCATTATCTAGTTTGCTGGTGTAAACAAACTTGAAAGAAAATGTTACTTTAATACTTTTGCGTTTTCAAAAGAATACAATATTACTGTTGGTGACTGCTGACATCAAATTTGCAATTTTAAGATTTCCAATTACATTAAAAAATGGTCATTACTCATAAGTTCATAACAGAAAAATTAATTTTAAAATTTAGCTATTACCACAGTTAAATCCATCAATTTCTTGTGAAATGTAGCTCAGCTATGTTGGTTTTTGTGTCTCTCTTTTTTTTGATTAGTTATGTTGCTTTTTGTCTTTGTAGCCATATTATATATACATACTGTTTTGCAATGTTTTCGTAAAAACTTGTATACAACATGTTCACCCTTCTACATGCAAAAATGAAAGGAGGACTAGCTGAGATCTAGGAAGCACGGACACTACAAAATGGGCGAAGAATCTGTGTCCGACAGGTGTCGGACACGTCAAAAAACGTGTCTGGAATTTTTTATTTTTTTTGAATTTTCGGACACGGCTCGGACACTCCGTGGACACGGCATGGACACTTCTGGAAATTTTTTTTTTTGAATGTTGATATGTTTTTTTTTTTTTTTTTTTTTTTTGTTTTGTACTATCCTTTTGGTATTGTAAATGGTAAAAGTCCTAGGTCAAATGATGGATGGGAATAGATGATAGTACACTGACTTGTTTTTGTATCTTTTTTGGGGACTAGCCTTTAGGTTTTTGTGAATGTTAAGTGCTAACAGTAAAGTCATGAATGTTAATAATCCTTTCTGTCTATGCTTTTGTATTTGGAGTAAAGTTGCAATGATGATTAAATGATACTAGTTATTATTCTAATGTCTTATTTTTTATTTGGTTTTATAATTCTGTAACATTGTTCTTTTATAGTTTATTAGTTATGAGCTATGATTTGTGTTTTTTTTTCATTGTGAGGTTGATGAAAAATAGTAACACTCAGTAATTTTTAAAGTACTACATCATATATATATATACACTATTCGCCGTGTCCGTGTCCTAATTTTTTTGGATTTGCCGTGTCGGTGTCGTGTCGTATCCGTGTCCCGTATCTGTGTCAGTGCTTCTTAGGCTGAGATACTTGATGTGTTTTGCTTTGCTTCCAATTAGCCTTAGGCCTGAGGATCAACATCGGGAACAGTGAGATGGTCCTGGTTGGGGTGATCCATGATTTTTCCTATATCGTTGGGTGTAGGGCCGCCTCCTTTCCAATTTCTTATCTGGGCTTGCTGTTGGGGCTTTGCTGAGGAGGGCGTCCATTTGGGACCCAGTGGTAGAACGGTTTAATAGAAGGCTTGCTGGTTGGAAGAAGCAATATCTTTCAAAAGGGGGCACATAACTCATGAAGAGTACCATTTCGAATCTTCCTACTTACTTTATGTCCCTTTTTCTAATGCCTGTAGCAGTTGTCCCACTGACCCAAAAGAAATTTTTTTCTTTTGGTTAGTAAAATTTATTAAAAGACGGTCAAAAGGGGAGCGGATCCCAAAGAAAAACACATGGCCAAAAAGCGCCTCAAGCCTTTAAAGAGGCCAAAAAAACAACATTCTCCTCTATAGATCTATAATCTCTCCCTGAGACCCAACAAAAAAGAGTGGAAATAATAGAGAACTTAAGCATAGAAATAGGCTTCTCCTTTCCATCGAAATATCTCCGATTTCTCTCGAGCCAAATGCACCATCAAATACAAAGAGGCGTATCCCTCCAAGCGTCCTGAATGAGGGCCCCCACTGAAAAACCTCTCCAAGCCTCAATCAGCCCAGACCCTCTCCATCAAAGGATCTCTTATTCCTCTCATGCCACAAACCCCACTATAAATGGGGTGGGTTGCCCTCCAAGCATCCTTGGCTCGGCTCTCCACTGTACACCCTCTCCAAGCCTCAAGCAAATCAACTGTGGAAGTAGGAAGCACCCAACAAATACCGAACATAACCAAGAACATCGACCAAACGTCCCTCGCCACTGGGCAATGAAGGAGGAGGTGATTAACTGATTCACCTGCCTTCTTACACATGCAACACCAGTTGACGGCAATATGCCTTCTCCTTCTAAGATTATCGATAGTGAGAATGCTTCCTAGGGAAGTCAACTAAGTAAAAAAGGCCACCTCCAAGGGGGCTTTTGTCCTCCAAATAGCCTTCTATGGAAATGCTTGGCATGGGGCATCCGACAGAATCCGGTAGAAGATCTTGAAAATCCCTCTATGGGATCCCACCCACACCATGTCAACCATGCCCTCACACTCCCTCATCTAACTGTAGAGCAACGCAAAGATATCGAAGACCTTCGAAAGTTCCTAGTCATGAAACTCTCAACGAAACCGAACGTCCCAAGTCAATCTACCATTATTGAGCCAATAACAGTCAGTAAGCCACCAGAGCATGCCTAGGTGGGGTTTGGAAGCTTATCTGGAAGGGATGGGAGGAGTTTTCCGAACACATTTGATTTAGGGTCAAGAGTTTGAGGCACATTAGATTCTGGGAGGATCTCTAGCGTGGGGATAATGCTATGACTTGTAGGTTCCCACGGTTCTTTAGGATCGTTACGAACAAACATGCCCTTGAGATGGTGGAGGGGGAGGGGATGGATGAGATGGTTTGGACAGGCTCCTTGAGAGTGTTTTTGGAGTGAGATTATTCTATCAGAGCCCTCTGGAGATTCCGGGCCCTGCCTTCCCTTGGAAGGCTATTTGGAGATTGAAAGCCCCTCTGAAGGTGGCTTTCTTTGCATGGTCATCTGCCCTTGGTAGGATTCTCACCTTAAACTATATCATGACGAGGAGGCAGGTTGTGGTGAACTGGTGCTGCATGTGCAAGAAGGCGGAGGAGTCGGTCAATCACCTTCTTTTGGACTGTCCAGTGGCAAGGGATATTTGGTGTATGTTTTTGGCAATGTTTGGTGTGCTGGGTGTCTCCCGACTCTACGGTAGATATGATTGCAGCTTGGAGACGGTGTATAGTGGATAGCGGAGCTAGAGATGCTTGGAGGGCCACTCCCCTTAATGGTGGGGTTTATGGTGAGAGAGAAATAAGAGATTCCTTGATGGAAAGGAGACTCCTATTTGGTCTCTAAAAGACATCATTTTGAGTTCTTTATTCTTTTGGGTAAATGGTGGAATTGTAATTCTGTGGGGGATTTTGCGGATAGCCTGAAATTATAGTTGGCCATTGTCGTCTCTTTGTGTATTCTCTTGGGAGCGCTCCCCTTTTGAGCGTCTTTAATAAAATCTTACTTGTCAGAAAAAAAAAATGTTGCCATGGAAGATACTATCTAGGTGACCTTGAGTAGTTTTCCAGAGGGAGCTTAAGAGGGGACGTGCAGGTTTTTCCATAAAATGCTATTTGGTGGACAGAAGGCCTCTCCTAATGTTGCTTTGTACGTGCAGGCTTTGTATGTTGCTGCATTGTCCCGTGGCTCATGATTGTTGGAGTCTCATTTTTGATTTGTTTGGTATTCATTGGGTTATGCCTCGGACATCTCGGGATTTGCTGGATATTTGGAGGGGCCAATGGGTGGGGGCTCAGGCGAGAGTCTTCTGGAGGGTAACCCCCTTTTGTGTTTGATGGAGCATTTGGAAAGAGCGGAATAGAAGATCTTTTGATGGGAAGGAGGCCTCCATTGGGGTGTTGAAATTCTCTATTATTTGTACTCTTTTTTGTTGGGGTTGGGGGAGAGATTTTTCCTCCATTGAGGATACTGTGGACTTTGTGGGCTCCTTGAGATCATAGTTTCAGTTTTTTGTATAGCTTGGGATGCGTTCCCCTTTTGAACGCCTTTTATACATTTTACTTATAAAAAAAAAAAAATGTTCAATAGGCCATAGGAACGGTCTGTTAATCATCCCTTGCTGCATTGTCCAGTGGCAATATATTGGAGTGGATCTCCTATTTGGCTCTGAAGCACATTTGTGTTGAGCGTCTTGTTTCTTGGGATCACTGGGAGCTCCTTTTTGTTAATAGATTATTTTTTGTATAGCTTTTTTGGTATACATCCTGTGTGCATGGTTGCACTCCCTTTTTGGTGCCTTTTAGTGATATTTTACTTACAAAAAAAAAGGAAATGTTGTCTCGAAGTGAGACAAATGCTACACATCTTCATAGACATAAATCTAGTAAGAGCCCGTTTGGGATTGCGTTTCAACGGCTTTAAAGCGCTTTTATTTTAAGAAATTGCATTTAGATGTGTTTGGTAATCATTAAAAGCACTTTTAATTGTTACCAATTTTAGATCAATAGAGCTTTTGAATGAAGCTAAAATTTGGAGCTTTTAAAACTGCATTCTGAGTGGAGGTTGTATATTTTAGGTAACTGTTTTTTCTTAGACTATTTTGTCCATTTTTATTTTTTATTAAGACAATTTCACCCTTTCTTTTATAAAGTTTTACTATTGTCAAATATAGTAACAATTTATTAAAGGATATTATTGTAAAATTAGAACTACAAGTGTTTTAAAACAATTTTTTACTAAACAGATTAAAAAATACTTTAATTGTGAAAATTACTTATATAATGTGTCACCAAATACCTAACATCTTTTTTACTGTCTGCAATTTTTTGACCTCTCTACTGAGAAGTGCTTTTTTCATTCTAACAGCAATGCAAACGGGCACTAAATGTAGCATAGAAATATGTAAATTATGTAAACAAAATGTAGCATAGGAATATATAAATTATTTAAACAAAATGTAACACGTTGAATCACACTCTGATTATAAAGATACAAATGCAAGATGAGCAAAAGTATTAGTAATTGTGTTTCAAAGATCTAGAAATTTAAAAATGAATGTCGTAATTGAAAGTGGTCTCCCCCTAAACAGGTCTTTTAACTAACTAGACCTTAAAGAAAAAATTCAATCATTCTGACTTCTATCTTGAACAAGAGAAAACTGGTGAACAAACATTCTTATGATTGCCATATTTCATCAAATAAGGAGGCTCAACATGTATGCTAGCTCTTTTAATCATCAATGTGCTGAAGCAGCACCGTTGTTCAGACCTTTATTTTCATCACTGCCAATACTGATTGAATATCCAATACAGAGTTCATTCATTGAAAAAGGAATTATCAATAATTAGGGGACATTATGTGAATTGTAGGTTTGTCCAATAAAAGGTGACAACTAGCGTGTCTTATGATGGACAAACAGGATTGCGATATGAATTTGAAGTAGCCTAACCAGGGAAAATTGCTATCTACTGGAGAGCATTTCATGCCTACCATTTGTAAAAGAATAACTCGCGATTGAAAGAATATATATATTTTTTAAAATCTCTATTAATTGATGAAATTTGCAATAAAACTGGATAAAAATACAATCCCGTCTTCCCCCGAACCACCAAAATAATAAATAAATAAAGCATGGATGGTAGATCCATGTTGGCAGAAATAATAAACCCTTTTATTGGACGGAAGAAAACAATAAAAGTGAAGAAAATAATTTGCTACAAAGGTTTTGATGAAGCTTGTGGGAGTGGTGGAGCTACGATGCATAGTTTGAAAGAAGCTAATTGATAAAGCAACTTGGAGCCCCCTCTTCATTATGTTGTTTTTGGTCTTGGTTTGACTTATCAAGAAAAAAATTGTTTTAATGTAGTGCCGTTCTTATTTTTATTTATTTTATAAGAATGTAGTGTGGTTCTTGGAGGCAGCTTGTCCTTCTTTTTTACATTCTTTTCCTTATATATTATTTTCATCTCGCGGAAAAAAAATCTCGATATTATTTATTTATTATTGTTGTTGTTGATTTTTTTTTTTTTGGGGGGGGGTGGGGGGCCGGCATAGCCTTAAAACTTGTTTTTGGCCACTCTGAAGTAGAAACTCATGAAGGCATTATCCCAGTTGTTGCTGTTGATTGATTTTCTAATATGAAACAACAAAGAAACATAGTGTCCTTAGTTGTCGCACGCCGCGGGGGGGGGGGGGGGGGGGGGGGGGGGTGGGGGTTTGGCCACTCTGAAGTAGAAACTCATGAAGGCATTATCCCATTTGTTGCTGTTGATTGATTTTCTAATATGAAACAACAAAGAAACATAGTGTCCTTAGTTGTCTTTTATATCTTTTGTGAGTGAAATCCCCAGTAATATGTCATCTTAAATTATGATTGATCCTGTAATTATTTTGCTCACGTTTAGTTTTCACTCTGCTCATTCTTTTGCAGAATCCTGAAGATGATGCATACAATTTCTTTACATGCTTCTGAAAATCGGATGACTCCATCTGCTGTTGCCGCTTGTATGGCACCATTGCTCTTACGGCCTCTTTTAGCTGGTGAATGTGAGTTGGAGGATGAATTTGATGTTAATGGTGATAATTCAGCCCAGCTTCTCGCTGCTGCAAATGCTGCTAATAATGCTCAAGCTATCATCACAACACTCTTAGAGGAGTATGAGAACATTTTTGATGTAAGATTCCCTTGGTCTTCTGGTTTTTTAATTTGGTTAGTAAAAGATTAGTAGTGTAGATGCCTTTCACATATTCTTATTGTGTAAATCATGGATTTTATTTTTCTATTGTTTCACAACTCCAAGCTGATCTGAAGCATATATGTGAGCTTGTAACTTATATTATCTGGTTGTTCTAAAACAAGTAATATTCATCATTGTTTGTAATATAAACTTTTCCATTATTATCTTTTATCCTTTTCAACTTCTAGTCTTATGGGGCTGAACAACTTAAACGTGTAAAACTACAAAAGATGAAAAGAGAAACAGCCATGTGGGCCCCACCACTGGTGTTGCATGATCAGGTACTATTTAAGATGGTGTTGGAGGATTTGAATAATAAAACTTATGCATTCTCTAACATCTTGCTTAAGCTTTTAGAGTAGATGGTTGTTAACATGGTATCAGAGCAGGCTAGGTCATGTGTTCAAATCTCACCGTCACCCTGAAGATTAAAATTGAAACTTGTGTTGGACCAAAAGAAGGCCACAGGTGAGGGGGCATGTTAGAGGATTTAAATATTAAAAGTTACACCCTCTCTAACGGCTTAAGCTTTTAGAGTATATGGTTGTTAACATATGGGCATGGGTGAACAACATGATTCCAGCTCATATGGAGTTTAATAAGCAGATTTTTCTTACCTAGGGGTTTTTTGGTATATGATAGAACAGGAATTTAGTAATTCTATTTTTTGCTTTGGTCTCCAAATTAGTTAGTCATTTCAGTTAGTAAATTCTCTGGTGTTTGTCAAGTTCTTTATTTCTGTATGAATAAATTGAGTTTTAATCTAGGAATTCTTTGCTCGGTTAGATTTAGGAAATCATTTGTCTTGTAGAAAGTTTCCATGCTTCTATGAATCTATACAAGAAGGTCTTTCTTTCTCAGCATCCCGTGTAGAGGAGACCAACACTTTCTGATAAGGTTATTTATTATTTTTTCTTTCTTGTAACGGTGAGACTCCATTGATTTCTTCTAGGTGAGACTTTTAGAAGGCCTTAGAGAGTATCCAATGTTTCTTTTTCTTCTTTGTTTTCTTCTTCTTCTTCTTCTTCTTCTTCTTATTTATTTATTTATCTGATTTGTTAATTATTTTAATTCCTGCAACTGCTATGCGCACTAATAACTGCAACCAGTTGCATTAGCCCCCTTTTTTTGCTTGGTTGGCTGCCCTAGGAGCATTCTCACTATCGATAATCTTAGAAGGAGAAGGCACGTTGCTGTCAACTGGTATTGCATGTGTAAGAAGTTGGGCGAGTCAGTTAATCACCTCCTCCTTCATTGCCCATTGGCAAGGGACGTATGGTTGATGTTCTTGGTTATGTTTGGTATTTTTTGGGTGCTTCCCATTTCCACGGTTGATTTGCTTGAGGCTTGGAGAGGGTGTATAGTGGAGATCCGAGCCAGGGACACGTGGAGGGCCACCCCCCTCTGTTTATGGTGGGGTTTGTGGCATAAGAGTTATAGGAGATCCTTTGATGGAGAGGGGTCACCTATTTGGTCTCTCAAATACAACATACTTCTTTATTATTTTTGGTCAATGGGACATATCGTAAATCTTTAGATCATCTTTTGGAGTTTATGGATAGCTTGAAATTATAGTGTTGCCTTGGGTGTGTTTGTATTTCTTACTGTTCTCTCCCCTTTTGAGCGTCTTTTAATTAAGTCTTACTTATCAAATAAAATAAAATAAAATTAAAAAAAAAAAAGAAAGAAAAAGAGAAAAAAAGAAGAAAAAAGAATAGCTTTCAATCTCAACCAACCTAACCTTCGTTCTATTCCCATACCATAAAATTAGCTTTCTGACCATAAACCCCAAGATTTAAAGCAATGGCACACCAATACACCATTAATTGATTGTACGACAGCTTTTATCATCAACCATGAGGTTTCGTCCTATGATCGTATCAACATGGGTGAAACTCCAATATAAAAATTGTAAATGTAAGATGGAGTGGCAAATTGTGCCAGGCACTCCATTATTTGATTTTATGACAGCTTTTATTATCAACCATTAGGTTTTGTCCTGTGTAGCAAACCAAAGTAGTTAGAAAAAGTTTTGTTTGATTAAATATTATTATTTTAGTAGTTAACAGATCTTCTAGTGTATGATGCCTTTCTTGTGCAGTACCTTTAAGCGAGATGACTCTGCATAGCTGCATATCTACTGATGATGGTGGATGTGAGGCATTTACAATGTTTCTAAAAAATTTAAGGCAATTTTAGCAGTTCCTTTATGTAATATTAACTACTGTGGTTATTCTCAGCTATTGTGATTTGTCTCTTTCAGGATGATAATCTACATAGATGCTCTATTTCAGCTGAGTCCCGGATTGAAAACAGTGGGACTGAAGATTCAACTGATGATGAAAATCTGGATATGAAAAACAATGGTTACCATGATGCAGAAAATGAAGTTGATCCAGAAACTGATGATGATCCTGATCGTGTACACAGTGGAAAATTGAGTGAAAGCAGTGGTTCTGTTGGAAGTGATCTTTATGACTACAAGGTTCTCTCTCTCTCTCTCTCTCTCTACATGTACACCCACACACACACATATTCTGATATGTGCAACGCACGGCCCTTCCCAACCAAGACTTTAACCCTGCACCTTCCCTTCGGGAGTGGCATGAAATACCGCTCAATCTAACAGCTGGTGCCAAAATTTACGTATTCATATGTCTCAAACATAGTTGATAATGGCTCAAGGTGCACTTGGGCGCCAAGGGTCTCCTAGAGCCTAAGAGCAAGGCACAAGGCAAGGCATGGGCTTGAGTCAAGGCACAAGTTGCATAGAACATATAGAAGTATAATATGACATTGCAAATAATATCACAAACTACTGCTGTTATAACTCATGAACATGACATATTTACAGCAAGAATTATTGACTGCATAAAAAAATATGCTGCAGTCGGCACTCTAGAAAAAAAAAAAAAAAAAAAAAACTATATCCCTAATATCCAATTTATTAAAAAAAGGAGCTACCCCAAGGTAAATATTCTCACCATGTCATTACAAACAGAGCCAGCCATAGTTGTTAAAGGCTCAAGGTGCACTAAGGCGCCAAGGCCTCCTGTCAGGGGCAGAGCCAGCATGTGCCCCTGCCCGCCGCGGGGGGGGGGTTGGTGGGGGGGATGGGGCAGATGCCCCCTTGGGCCCATGATGAGAATGGAAAGAGATAGAAAATTGGAAAAATGGAGGATTTTTCTCCACTGATTACTCTAGTAACAGTAAATCTTCAATAAGAGGAAACAACATGAATTACCGGAGGATTTTCCTCCACTGATAACTCCATTAAATCTTCAATATTAAGCAATATAATTTTAAGTTCTTATACATGCCAAATCTCATAATTTGTTTATCTGATTTAGAAATTTACTCTGGTCCAATATTGGTCATCTACTTGATGTGCTATTATTTTCTAACGCAGGCCTTTGGAGGTGATGATTCCGATGTTGGAACCCCTAGGAATAATCGCACTTCGGCAACAAAACCAAATCCACTTGCAAATTCTCAACCACTTAGAGATTCTAATCAATTTAATGAGCAACAAGGCCCACCAAGGAAGAAAAGTGAAAGTGAGTTGGATTCTCCTGAAATTTTACCTGGCAGTGAGTCAACTCGATCCATGGGGGAGGTGTTGTCATCTATGGATCCAGGGCTACCTCAGTCGGTCCTTGGGCCTGAATCATCTGCTGAGAAGTCTATAAGTAAACTTACAAACTCCAATCTCAATGTTAAACGGTCTACATTTTGGGGAAAAGGAGCTGTAAGTCATCTTACTTTGAGTCATCAACGATTTATTGTCATTCCCATTTCATCACTTGGTGTTTTTTATTTTATTTATTTATTATTATTATTATTATTATTATTTTTTTTTCCTTTTTCTTTTTCATTTCTATTATATCTCATAACTTGGTTGATTTCTTCTGGCTTCTAATATATGTCGTTTCATTTTTCTCAAGTATGTCTTTGTTCTCTCTTGGAGCCTTGTACTCATACTGGCACTCTTCTGCAGTTGATGGCTTCATTAGCATCCATTTCTTTTATTTATTTGCAATGTCAATCAGTTGTTCTTGGCTTGAATATTCTGGTTGTATACTTGATTATCTAAATTTGTTTGCTTTGTTTCCCTGGTGTGGGCGCAGATGTAATAAACAAAAACCTGGTGTTCGATATGGCTATTTTAGAAATATATATTTGGGGACACTATGATTCATTTAAGTCCTATGATTAGAATTGTAGAATGCTAACATAATTTATACTTTTTCTTAATGACCTCTGGCTTGATTGATTTGAAAGGGATATGCTTATTGGATAAAAAACGTATAATACTTGCAGGTGTAGTGTTCACTTTCACTTAATGGTTGATTAAAATTACAAATGTTGAGATGGGCAATGCACAAATTTTATTACGAATGGTGTCTGACCCCCTGTTCAGCACATGGACACTTCACTCCCTTGGAAGTAATTATGTAGTTTTCTTTTGTGGATGTGCTTGTCATTCATGGAGGCGTGAAATCAATTATAAGATGCCCACATTCTGTTTTTTATGTTTTGTATCTTGAAAGTGCTATTGATGGGAACCTGAGAATTCAGTTTTATATTTTTCAGGTCAGAAAGATGCCTTCAATGGAATCAGTTGATTCTTCTGGAGAGGAAGAGTAAGATTTTCTTTATGGACTTCATTATTTTGCTTTGTGGCACCTGATACATCTGTTAAAGGCATGATCATATATGAAACATATGACAATTACGTTAAAGATACATTCTTTGTTGAATCAACTCCTGGATGTGGTGCTGTATTTCAATTATGAAACATATGACAACTTATCTGTAAGTTGGTACATGTGCCCATTTGATTGTTGAGTTACAGTTAGAGTGAAACCAATGGGTGTGTCTGGTCAGTACAATATTGTGTTTGGTTTGGGTTAGCATATTGTCAAGTCACGTATAGCTACTGAAAAGCTATTGTTTATATATATTATTATTCCTAAGTGTAGATTGTTCTCCATGGTAGATATTTTTGATTCATACTTGATATTTTGTTTCAATTTCTGGAACCTCATGGGAAAGCTGATGTTAATAGGTGCAGAATGGCTATATGATGAAAGTACCATAGGTTATGTTTATATGCACTTGACGAAAGAATTAACTAAATAAAACCAGATAGCAAAAATAATGTGGTGAAAGGTGGGGTGGGGAGGTCCCAGCGAAGGAGCAAATAAAGTAAAAGCACAGACTAAAGTCTTATGTGAAATGGTAACTCTGCTAATGAAATTTAAAGAGCTTTGCAAATTACAATGCAAAAACTATTCATACAATCATGCTTGGATTTGAGTTAAAGGCCAAAAAGTGCCATCATGGTTTCACTTTTTAAATCAGGGAAGAATGGAGAAGAAATGCTGAAAACCCATGGGAAATTAAGCGACCCAAAGCATGAGTAGTGATACTAGAGAAAAAAATTATAAGGACTTCTAAAATTTGGATTGAAAAGCCAAAAGCGTATATTGTGAGTTAAGGACTTAAGCAAGAGTTTTTGGTGAAGGAGATTTTTTTGGGGGTGGGTGGGGTTACTGAATTTTAAGTTCATGGAAATACCAGGAGCATTTCTTTGGTTATTTATTATTATAAATGTAATTAAGCACCGTACAAGTTTCAGGATTAATGAAGGAAAGGATATCATCATATATATGGAGAAGTCTTTTGATAATCATGCAGCTGAATCTTGTAGCAGTACTAACTACTTAAGGGTCAAATTGCAGTTATGCAATTAATTGTAGGAGATAGATGGAGTAAATATCATGAAAATAATGTGATATCTAGAAAAGAGGTTTACTGCTTGGGTGGCTTTTCGTTAAGCTGTCTTAAAATCAGTTCTGTGGTGTATTTTTTTTTTTCCTACTTGGTACTCACACACACTTGTCTCTTCTGAGACTTGAACCCCTGACCTCCCTTTGGGAAGTAAGAAGCTGATACCGCTAGGCCTCTGGCCCGTTGGTGTGGTGTGGTGTATTCTTTTTCCTACTTAAAAGGCAGCATTTTGTTTCTGTGTGAATTAGAATTTCAAGCAAGTGCTTTGGCATCTTTATAGACATGTAGAAGGTGAAGTGTAATTGGATGGGTTCAGCTTATGGTGGAATGAAGCTTCTTCTTGTTTTTAAGAGGTTATAGGGAAATTTGTCCTGAATCTAGTAATTCTATTATAATATTTCGTGCAACATTTTTGAGAAAGGGTCCAACTTCCCACTTTCCCATCCATTAATAAAAGTCCACGAAATTCCTCCTCCATTTTGTGGGGCCTTTTCTTTTTTCCCTTTTCTAAATAAAAGAAGTCCTCCCCCCCGCGTAGATGTGTGTGTGTGTGTGTGTGTGTGTGTGTGTGTATTAATACTTCCGCCTCCATTTTGTGGTGCATCTTAAATGTTTAATAAACCCTCTCCATGCACTTTTGGTGAAGTGTCAAAAGGAATTCGGGATCGTAGATCTTGGTTTCTCTATTTTGTTGCATCAACAGGTCAACTTTTAATACTCAATTGAACGGTGTTTGTTCCTAGCAATTTGCTAAGAAAATTCCTGATCAAAATTTTTATTGCATTGACATATGCAATCCACTTATGTTAAAATTACTATTATTACGAATTTACTATAGAATTTCATTTTTATTAGTTTGTTCTATTTGTATTGTTATTGTTGTTTCATTTTGAAATCTGCTTTCACAAACACGTTTCATGACTGTTTGCAGACTTGCTATTCAGAGGCTTGAGATCACCAAAAATGACTTACAACATAGGATTGCAAAAGAGGTAACATTTAGGTTCCGCTTTTAGGGTTATGTACACTAAATCATAGTGTATTCATGCTGTAGTTAACTGGATTGGCTATCATCTCTGTTAGGCGAGAGGAAATGCAATTTTACAAGCTAGCTTGGAGAGAAGGAAGCAAGCTTTGCATGAGCGCCGCTTGGCACTTGAACAAGATGTAAATACTTTCTATCCATCAGATGTAGCCATATTTATATCGACTGTTTTCCATTTTTCATGGTTTCATTGAGCACTATTTTCTAGCTTTTAATTTTACTCAAAATGTTAGTTATTATTGGTGAACTTTATCTATTCTTCCAGTAAATTTATTTTAGCAATTTGGTAGTTGCGTTTGATATTTCCCATCTTAATTTTGGTATTAGTGATCAGTTCTCTTGTATCTGAAAAACAAAAATACACTATGGTGGGGGTAGGCAAGTTTTGAATTTGGTCACTCTGCCAAATGAGTGTGTGGATTTGAGAACTAGAAGTAAGGAGCTTGGTTTTTTTGCTAGTTAGGTATTTAGATGTCCTATGATCATGTCGATAGGGGCTTTTTCTTTTGTATTATGGAGAAGTTGGGTTCGAGGACAAGATGGAGGAGGTGGATCATGCATATCCACTTTTAGAGTTTTGCTCTTAGTGGATGGAAGATTCTTTTTAGGGGCTGTTTTCAAGTTCTTGAGGGTTGCATTAAGTGGTCATTGTTGAAAGATGTACAATCTGTAACATCATAATGTTAACTTCTCTCTCTAATGCCTATCCTAATAGCTTATTATTTTATAAGTTTCTCAAGGTGTAATTAGCATAGGTGTCATACTTTAATATTTTTCCATATGTTCCTTTGACACTTCTACCATGTCATTTGGTTTTAAAATGTCTTACCTTCTTTGATTTATTTTCATATTTGGAAAAATAATGTATAAGGTTATTTAGATAAACTTCAATTTAGCATGTCTTTACTGAATTCTGCATGACTCTTATTAAAAGGTTTCAAGGCTGCAAGAGCAGTTGCAAGCTGAGAGAGATCTAAGAGCTGCATTGGAGGTTGGGTTGAGCATGTCTTCTGGACAAATTTCCAGCTCCCGCGGAATGGATTCCAAAGTTTGTACTTTACTAACAAAGTTATATTTAAATGGATGCTTTATGCAAACACGTTCTTATGAGTTTACTCTAATTTGAAGACGAGGGCCGAGCTTGAGGAGATTGCTCTTGCTGAAGCTGATGTGGCCCGGCTGAAGCAGAAGGTTGCAGAATTACACCATCAACTTAATCAGCAACGTCAAAATCACTATGGCTCCCTTTCTGATGTGTGTGATCGTTTTCAACATGTCCTAGATCGCAATTCTCAACAGTGAGTTGCTAAAATCCAGTTCTATCTCCTCCTCTCCCCCCCCACAACAAACAACAGATGTTAAGCTTCCATGCCATAGTGTGGTGTCGTTTCATTAGTTTGTCGCAATGGCTGGTTTTAAACAGTTTTATTAAAAGACTATATTTTAATGGATCTCTTTTTTCACCCAACAACCTGTTATGATATATAACCAAAATTAAGATGTCAAGTTGGCTGATTATAAAAAAAATTAAAAAAGTTGGCTTATAACTCTCATTGGACTTATTTAAGTCATGGAGGATGATTGTCCTCCTGTCATCAATAGATTGCTTCATGAACAATGATTTCTGTACAGTAAATTGTTTGTTGGTCTCTTTTAAAATTATTCTAGTAATCATCTTTGGCCATCTCAATGTTATGAATGTGAGATGAATGCTGAAGGGAGGACTGCTACTCTGGGTGCTCATAAGTCACAAAGTACACCAAGTCCCTTCTAGACCTAGAGTGAGGGTGTATTGGTCTTGCAAAGACTTTAACTAACTGAAACTTAGATTATAATAAATTTAATTAAGCGCAGCAGGAACAAATAGCAATAAATAGAGCAAAAATTTAAAATTGAAACTTAGATTATGATAAATTTAATTTAGCGCAGCAAGAAAATAGCAATAAATAGAGCAAAAATTAAAAACTGAAACAATCACACACTGAACACCAAATTTATATGGAAAATCTCATAGGAGAAAGATCACGGGACCCCAGGCTTGGTAGATCAAATCCACTTTAACTGAAGGTATTACAATTCTGGGTGTCAGATTCTAAAGCCATAGAAGTACCTAAGTTACCTTAGATACAAACGCCAGATGTTCTACCCTGAATGCAATTAAAGAGCACTTATTTTGCTAGCCATCCAACCAATATGTAATATGTTTAGATGATGAAAAAGAAAAATATGTGCTCTTTAATTGCATATATGCTCACTTTATGTATCTCTTTATGCATATATATGATTAGAGAACCCTATATGTGTACGGGGGGTTAGAAGGAAGAAGAAAGTCCCTTCTTGGAAGGGGGAGAGGGAGGTTAGGAACCTTATTTCATATGTGAATTATGAGGGGAAGGACGAGATGGTGTGGGAGGGGGCAGTGAGGTGGGTAGAGGGATGAGCAAGGGGAGGGGAATGTTTGTGTTTTCAGATGAAGTTATGCATCATTTCATGGAATGTTCATGGTCTTAATGACCCGAACAATAGAAAGTTGGTCAAGTTAGTGGTGAGAAAGTGGGGAGCTCATGTAGTGTGTTTGCAAGAGACGAAGTTCGATTCAATGGCGGATAGGGTGGTTAGGAGTGAGAGGGATCTTCCTTTGGGGCATTAAAGTTTCTTATTGTTTTAGCTCTCTTTTTTGTTATGTTTTGGGGAGAAATTGTAAATCTATAGAGGAGATAGTTGATTTTTTGGGCTCCTTGAGTTCTTAGGTCCTTTTTGGCATCGGCCTTTGTGTAGCTTTCAGGATGTGTTCCCCTTTTGAACGCTTTCTAATACATGCTTACCAAAAGAAAAATGTTTATATGGCTTTATGTACAAAAGAATTAGGGTTTTATAGTTGCAAATAAAATAGAGATGTAACTCCTCCACCATGAGTTCGATGGATTGAACTTAAACAATGAAGGTCGATCGATCCTACGACTGACCCAACTCTCTGCTCCTTTTAAATACCTGTTTATTTTATCCTGTTTAATCAATTTATGAAATATGCATTCTACAATATGTCTAATGCATCTTAAACATGATTTATGTGATTGCACAAAATAGAACCCTAAATGGTGAGTTTGATATTAAAGAACTGAGTTTACCTTTTTGTCTTTGTAATGATCTTTAATTTTCATCTTGAATGTCCACGGATCATGAGGATATCTAAACCTAATTAACTTAAGATTAAACATTTAGAATTGAACAAACTAAAAACAAAAGGCAAAGACGCTGGCTTTTCTGATGAAGTTTGCCAATATAAAGTCCTAATAAGCAGAAGCATACCATTCAACATGAATGTAAGGCTACAAAAATGACACTGACCAAATTTAACTATATTTTTGTGATGTGACCTTTTTTGTTCAGTTTCTAATCTGAGTTTTAGTCATGTGACCTTTAGATTCATGTATTTATATGTGGCCTTGGGGTCTGTAGTTGTAAGATAAAACTTTAACATGCTTTTAGAATTATTGTTGCATTTTTTTTTGAGTACGTAGTGCAGCAACACATGATAAGTATGCAATATAATTAATTACATTTGACAGAAAATGAAGTACTAAAATATCTCTTTTCTATGACATGGATGTTTGGTGTTCAAAAAAAAAAAATTCTTCAGCAAGTATCAGATACAACCCTTGCTTTCACTTGTTATTAAAGAGCTAACATGGAATGCAAAGTTGAGCATATATCGTTCATTGCATTTTTGTTGATACCTGAATTTGAGTGGAATATGATTTGGTGAGAACATGGAAGTGGATGCAGGAAATTATATTTGGTTCTGTTTAAATTTTATTTTTAATACTCTCTATATGTTTGCTATGTGCAGGAAATTTCTTCAGCAAGATTTTGATACAACCCTTGCTTTTTGTAACCATGAAAGGAAACAAAGAACCGAGGTATCTGCCTCATTCTTTTACCCTTGATCCATTGTTCATTGAATTGTTTTAAGTAGGATTTGGAAAGAGGGAGATATGAATCTTTTTCCTTTTGCCCTTTTTGGTTCTTTCTGGATTTCATCTGCTGCTCTTATTTATTTTCAATTTTTCACTTTTTACTTCTTTTCACTTTGATCCTTGTTTTTTGTTGAAAGATTTAAATATTAAAGTTACACCCTCTTCAATAGTTTAAGCTTTTGAAGTAGATGGTGGTTAACATGGTATCAGAGTAGGCAAGGTGTTGAGTTCAAACCTCACCGTCACTCTGATAATTTTTTTTTGATAAGTAAAAATAACATTAAAAAAAGGCGTTAAAGAGGGGAACGCGTCTCAATTACAAAAGTGGAACCGGGACTAAGGCCCCAAAGAATCCAAAAAAGTAATTAAATCATATGAAGAAGAACAAAAGCTCCTCTTCACATAATTGAAGAGAGAACGAAGAATGTAAAGTTTGACCGTTTCCGTAGGCGACTCTTTTCCTTCGAACATTCTGCTATTTCTCTCCTTCCAAATGCACTACCATACACAATGTGGTACAATTCTCCAGAAATCGCGAACGTCTCTTCTCACTTGATAGTCTCTGCAAACATGAATCAATTCCTTAGTAGATCGTGGCATAACCCAACACATGCCAAACAACCCAACAATAAGATTCCAACAATCAATCGCCACAGGGCAATGCAAAAGGAGGTGATTAACGGTCTCCACATCATCCTTGCATAGACAACAACGATTAACTATACAATTGCCCCTTTTTCTCAAATTATCAATTGTCAGAATCTTTCTCCACACAGCAGTCTAAACAAAGAAAGCCACCTTAGTTTGGAGCCATAGACCGCCAAATAGTTTTCCACGGGAAGTCTCGATTAACAAAATTTGACAAACATAAGAACAAAGATCTAACTTCAAAACGACCATGAGAAGAGGGAACCCAAATTAAAACATCATTACCTTTGCCAACGCCCTCCTGTCGATACAGAAGATCCAAAAAAACACATACCTCGTCCATCTCCCAATTCTGAAAAGAGCGCCGAAAATGCACATCCCATATAATCTTGCTGCTATCAAGCCGATAGCAGTCGACTATGTAGGCGTGTTTATCAACAACAATACTAAATAACCTTGGAAATGTACGAGAAAGTGGCTGATCCCCACACCAGAGATCTTCCCAAAACCAAATGCAACGTCCATCACGGAGTTTGAATCTGATATGAGCCGAAAAAACATCCCATCCCTTTCGAATAGCCTTCCACATCCCTACTCCTCCCACTAGGGTAACCAGACGCGTAGACCAACCTCCAGCCTCTTCGCCAAACCGACAAGAGACTAACCTGCGCCATGGTCGATGTCTTTCCCTCCCATATCTCCGTAACCACTTACCCAGGAGAGCTTGATTGAAAGGAACTAATCGTCTTATGCCAAGTCCACCCAATTTCACAGGCTTACAAATTTCCTCCCATCTGACAAGGTGGTACTTGAACTCATCGCCCTTACCACCCCAAAGGAAATCCCTTTGAGTTTTTTCAATCCTGTCTGCAATGGAACAAGGGATTTGGAACATAGAAAGAAAATAAGTGGGGAGGCTCGACAAGGTGCTCTTGATAAGAGTAACTTTACCCCCTTTTGACAAGTATTGCTTCTTCCAACCTGCTAATCTCTTCGCATACCTGTCAATCAAGGAATCCCAACTCTCCACTAAACTTGAAGAGACCCCTAGGGGCAAACCCAAATAAGGAATAGGGAATGAGCTCACCTTGTATCCAAGGATTGCAGCTAAAGAGGAAATATCCGGAACATTCTCTACTGGGACAAACATACTCTTTGCCACATTGACCTTTAGCCCGGAAATTGCCTGAAAACAAGTCAGAACACACCTCAAGTATCGAAGTTGAGACACATCAGCATCACAGAAAACCAGGGTGTCATCTGCAAAGAGTGAATGGGAAATCTCCATCTGATGGTCTAAAGCCCTTAATAAAACCAAGGTCCTCTGCCCTACGCATCAGTCTACTTAACCCCTCCATAACAACAAGAAAAAGGAAAGATGACAAATGATCACCTTGGCTTATACCTCTAGAGCAACTAAAGAAATCGGCGGGAGAGCCATTCACAAGAACTGAAAACTTGACAGACGAAAGACAGGTCTCAATCCATTTCCTCCATTTACTTCCAAACCCCATTATTTGTAACAAATAGAGTAGGAAATTCCAATTCACATGATTATATGCTTTCTCAATGCCAAGTTTGCATAGAACTCCAGGAATACCACTCCGCAATCTGGAATCCACACATTCGCCAGCAATAAGAATTGAATCAAGAATTTGTCGTCTGCCAACGAAAGCATTTTGGGAATCCGAAATAATTCCATCCATGACTTCCTTCATTCTTAAAGCGAGCACCTTAGCAATGAGTTTGTAAATGCAGCCCACCAAACTAATAGGACGAAAATCCTTTATATCTGAAGCACCTCCCTTTTTTGGAATAAGGGCAATGAATGAAGCATTAAGCGATTTCTCAAAGACGCCAAAAGAATGAAACTCCTGAAAAGTACCCATTACCTCATTTCTTACAACTGCCCAACTTTCCGTCAGAAATCGCATAGTGAAAGCACCGTCACTCTGATAATTAAAATTGAAACACGTATTAGACCAAAAAGAAGACCACATGTGAGGGGGCTTGTTGAAAGATTTAAGTGTTAAAGTTGCATCCTCTCTAATAGCTTAAAGCTTTTGGAGTAGATGGTTGTTAACATTTTTCTGTTGTTCTGTCTTTTTTCTTTTAAAATAGTTATTATGTTACCATTTTATTTTTCTGTCATTTGCTTTCTTTCCTTCTTCTTTTCCTTTTGGTGGAAGAGTGCCGTAAAGAATGCTACATAAACTGGGAACTGGTATTTCCAAGTCTTCCTTTTGGATGGCACAAGTTATCCCTGAAAAGTCCCTATTCCAAATTTGTCTCTGGTATTTTCTAGTCACTATGAGTACTAGGGCACTGGATCATGTGGTTCTCAACAAAGATCATTTTGTAAAGAATATCTAAGACTGATTATACTAGATACAGTTGTCATTCTCGATTGTAAAAGGTTGTTTCAATGGCCGGCAAAATATGCCATTAAACAATCAGTTTATGTTCTTTATGCGATAAACCTAACAGTTGTTCTCATTCTAGGGTCGTCGTCTTCACATGTAACAATCTTCTCCATATGGTGCTAAAATTGCATTGGCCTCGGTCTTTAGATTCATTTAGCTCAAGCATGTGGCTCTCTGCATTAGTTGGGATATTTGGCATGAAATGTGGGTTCATATTGAATATGGTGTAAGACTTGCTGTTTCCTAAACCTCTTGGGGTGCACATTTTACCAATTCCACCATTGTATTACATGTCCATCCATGCATGCTATGCATGCTACATATTGTAATGATCAGATTTTGGTGGCTATGAGTAACTCTCATTTCCTAATAAATTTTTGATATAAAATGTATCACTGGATTAATTCGGTACTGGTGCATACCATAATATAGTTGAAAATATATCTTCTCAAACTGCCATTTGACTTTTGATTTCTGTCGGTGGCTTCTTTGTGCTTAAAGTATTCTAATTTTTTCCCTTGAATATTTTGCTTCAGGAGAGTTTGCTGGGGGCAGATTTGAGGAATAGCAAAGGTCAGGTATTAACTTCTGGCAGCAGTAGCAGGCAACCTTCTCGGAAGCAATTTTTGGACACAACAAGCTTGAGTGATTCTAAAAGTAACGAAGCATCCACTAGTGCATCTGTGGATGAGCTCTGTGCTGTTGATTCTGCCTCTGTGCCTTCCACTTCTAGGGCAGTAGAGGTTAGACTTGCTTCTTTAAATAGTTTTGGTTTCTGTTGCACAAAATGTTATTCTAAAGAAAAGAGAAACTTTAAGTACTATTACTTTAGGATCATAGAGAGTAAATCCTTACTTATAAAAAAAAATAAAAATAAAGAGTAAATCCTTAATCTACAATTAGTAACTTAAGGTCTTTCTCTTCCCCGGTCCACCATTCCTTCATATTGTGCTTGTCAGACAAAAGAAAGATCCAAGTACATCTTTTTCATTGAACTTAGGCCTAGTTTGGTGTTGTTGAATGAAATAAAGTGGGAATGGAATAAATCAAAGAATGGAATGGGAATGGACCATTCTCATTCCCATGTTTGGTTGCACAGAAAAATATCATATTTTTGTAAAACATATATATATATATATATATATATATATATATATATATATATGTATGTATGCATATATATATGTGTAGCCGACATTTCATCAAATGTTTTTTTTTTCATTCATTTATTTATTTAATTTTTTTTTAAAAGTGGGAATGGAATGGTCATTTTTTTAGTTGGAAAGTGGAATGAATTAGTGGGAATCACCATTCTTGGAGAATGGACAAGAATCATCATTCCAACTTTAAAGTTACTTACCAAACTAAAGAATGGAAATAAAAACATTCCATTCCCACTTCATTTGATTCCATTCACTGACACCAAACATGGCCTTAATCAACAGCCAGCACCTACTTTTTTTTTTATTGTGCATAAATCACTAGTTTATTTTCTCTTTCAAAAGATTGAATTTAACGTCCAAGCTTTTCATAATATTTTTGAGACGATCAAAAAAGGAGTTCCAAAGATGACTAGTGTCACCCTCCATTGCTTTCTCGGGTTGAATTCATTTGTGATTATATTTTCCCCAAATTTGTTATCAAATGTGATGGTATACCAAAGCTCTTATCTTTTGGCCAAAAGATGCTACACCAGAGGTTGATTGAATTATTCATAGGATTTTGCTGAGTGATTGATCCTGCATTCTTGGCAGACTTTCAGCTCCTGAATTTGTTATAATGGTTGCAGGTATTGGATTATCCTAGACAGCCATCAGCAGCGTCCTCCACTTTGGTAGAATTAACAACACGTCTCGACTTCTTCAAGGAACGGCGCTCTCAGCTGATGGAACAACTCCACAACCTCGATTTAAATTATGGGACGACATCTTCTCAAGATTTTATGTATAAAGCCACATCTCCACGATGGAACTGACAGGCGATGATGCCCATGGATGGAGTTGAGAAGATTGACCAACTTCTTCCCTTTTGTATATCCACTGTACTATTGCATATAGTTGTATCTCCCGACACACTGTTCCGAATACTCTCTTTTTTCATTTCTTTTTCTTTTATTTAAATTTCTGTGTTCTTTTTGTACTGAGAACATTATTTGTTTTCGGTGAGGAGCGTTCTTTTTTTATTTATTTTTTTCATTTTGTGTTACTGAATAGTGTGAACATAATAAGTATTTATATCATTCTTGTATAAAATAGTAGGGAAGAATTTTAATGTTACAAACTTCTCTGTGATAGGACTTGGGGGTGTGATTCTTCTTCCAGAAACATCTGGCTGTTTGTAATAGTAATGATCTAAATGTTTCTTTAATCTTGTGACCTGGTGCATGAAATAGGTTACATGTGCTATAGATCTGCACGAAGAATCTGTAGCAAAATTACTGGTTTACCTTTGTCCTAGTGGTCTCGGGTCTGAACTCTAAGCCAAGGTTTCGAGCAAGTGATTAATTCCGAATAAAATCATTATTTTTAACTTTTCCTGGGACATTCAAAAGCAATGTGAATTAAGTTGCAACATTTAATGTCTTTAACAAAAATGAGTGGACCCTGATACTTGTTGCACCTGTCTAAAATGAAATGGGTGAACAAGTCTCCTTTAAAATTTGTAATAATTTTATTGTAATAATTCCTCACGTTCTTTGTTTGAATTTGTTGTACGGCAACAACAAGAAAAGCTATTTAATTTACATTATTGAGCATGAAATAACTATTTCAAGTTAAAGAAAAAACAAAACAAAAAAAAACTCTTCTGATTTTTTTTTTCATAAGCAGGTGTTTCCTTGTGCTATGGAAGGATCACCTGAATTTTTTAGGGCCCCAAGGTTCTCCTCGGGTCAGGCTTTAATACGATTTTGTAATAATTTACTCCATCACATGATATGAAATTGTTCGTTTTGGATCCGAGTTTGCATGATTTTGTTCTTTAGACTTTATCCCACAAGGTCTTGGACCAATTCGAGTGTAAAAATCCTACATATATAACACATCCCTTTCCACGCTCAGTGCCTAGTATGATTGGTCTATTTATACCCGCCCACAAATTTATCACAATACTTACAAAAGAGTCCAATAATATAGATTACACAATCTTATTATTTAGGTGTTATCGATTCCATACGTTCACTAACAATACAATTTAGCAAGCAAAAGTAGAATTTATACATTACTGGTATTGTTTAATGGCCATTTTCACACGGCTTGTCACATCCAAAATATTAATTACATTAGTTCCTATGCAAGTTTCTTATTTAAAATCGCACATTAGATAATGGAAAATGATAGATAATGTTAATTATGATGTTCTGTGTGACATGTTTTGCCCATGACATTCTTTGATTTGTTTTTATCTTTTCTAAATTTTATTGGAAATTCTTTGTGTAAATGAGAGACCAACGAGTAGGTGGTTCTCAATTTCATTTTTGCCAAGTTAGTTTCAGGCATAAATGGCTAACGTACTGCCATCTATAATTATATTACACCCAAAGGACAAGACTTGTGTACTTATCATGAATCGCTAATGTGGTCCAATCACAAATGTACAAATAGTCCTTAATTAAAAATTTGAAAAGTGATAAATACGAAAATAGAAAGAGTGATTAAATTTATTTTTTTAAAAAATTATTGTCCTTATTTATCAATTTCCTAATTTTGTAATTACGAATTATTTGTGAATTCTTGTCTTTTTTCTGATTTTTGAATTGTTCCTAGTTTGGGTCTGAATTTCTTTTGTATTAAACCTTGGTTTAATGGGCTGGGTTATTGTATCATGGGTTGGCCCTCAATTTGGGCAATTCCTCTATTGGGGCTGTAAATTTCCGACTGTTAATATATACAGTATATACATAATATTTACCTTTTTTTCTTTGCTTAACTTTTTTTTAAAAAATTAATAAATAAAATAAAATAAAAATTACGCGGGAGAGAAAGACTAGCAGTGTTGGAGATATAATTGTAATGAGTTGCCTCTTCAGTGTAGATTGGAACACTGTGATTGTAGAGAGATCTTTGCCCTGTATTTATAGTGTGAGTTTAGACAACACACACAAATTATTGTGTTTTGTTTTTTTTTTTTTCTTGGTTGGATGACAATACAAAGACATACAAAGCTTGTAAGACAAAATTAGAATATAATTGGGTAGTAATCAGAATCTGTTAAGTCCAGTCCAATGTACGACTCTTAGATGCCCAGGTCAATAAAAGACAACAGTTGATCCACATAGTAATGCACCAAATTCTATGTATCTTACGTTGCATTGTTGAATATATAAATCATTGGGGAAGAAAATGTTGAAGCTTACAAAGATTTTCTGATTTTCTTCAACTAATTAATTGAAAAAAAAAAAAAAAAAAGAAGTTGAACTTTCGAACTAATCATTAATGGCATCTAAAATGTGCCTATATGAAGATCTAAATATTGCCAAAAAACGAGATCATCAAAACTGTGGAAAAGCTCTTGTCTCAACAATGTCAGCAAACTCTGCAGCTGCACCCAAGGTTCATACATACTATTTAAGTTGCTATATATCCTACTATATATATATATATAGATAATTTATTCAATGACACTGTAATGTTTTTATTTATATCTTATTTATGTATGGATGAGTGATCCAAAATTGACTCTCAAATAAAAACTTGTTTTCAAATTCACCATTAATTCTATTAGGATGATCCTAAACCGGGATGGATAGGTTAAATTGGCATCCCTATATGTATTAATCGTCACGAACAATTGCTTACTTCAATTTTGGGTGCATACCCTTTGAACATGTCTCAGATTGGAAGGCAAAGTGGCAATAGTCACCGGTGGAGCACGCAACGTTGGAGAGAGCATTGCTAGAATATTTGCCAAACATGGTGCTAAAGTCGTTATAGCAGATGCCCTGGATGAGTTGGCTCAGTCAGTGTGCCAAGACATAAGTCCTGAAATAGCTTCATTTTTCCACTGTGATGTAACTAACGAGCTGGACATCAAAAATGCCATTGACACCACCATTGCCAAGCACGGCAAGCTCGACGTAATGATCAACAATGCAGCCATCATAGACGGACCAAAAATAAGCATACTCGACGTGGACAAGTCTGAATTCGAGACTGTCATCAGCGTTAACCTAACCCGTGTCTTCTTGGGCACCAAACACGCTGCTCGTGTGATGATCCCGGCCAGGAGGGGCAGCATAGTGTCGATTGGGAGTGTTGCTTGTAGTGTTGGCGGTGTTTCAACTCACGCTTTCGTGAGCTCAAAGCATGCCGTGGTGGGACTCACTAAGAATGTGGCTGCAGAGCTGGGACAGTTTGGCATCCGAGTGAATTGCTTGTCGCCTTACGTCATTGTCACCGAGCAGATGAAGAAGTTTAACAGGATGGAGAATGAAGGGGGCTCTGGTGTTTATTCTAACCTTAAGGGGGTGACTCTTGGTATGGAAGATGTGGCTGAGGCTGCTGTTTTTTTGGCTAGTGATGAGTCCAAGTATGTGAGTGGGCATAATCTGGCACTAGATGGAGGCTTTACCGTTATAAATCCGGCTTTTGGATTGTTTTCAAGGCTAATTAATGTATTTTCAATCTAGTTTTGAGTTGGATCAACGTTGAATTATGAACCCTTTTAGTTGATTTTGTGGCTCTTGTACTTGTGCACTCTAATCAAATGATGCAGAATGATGTTGGTCTCTCTTGGAGTTGTTTGTGTTTTCAAAGGCCTGTGATAGTGTTTGTGTTTTTTTACTCAGTCGAGCCTCTCTTAGGCCGTGGACAATGTGTTCTAGTCTAATTAAGTTGTTTAATAAAATATTATAAAGATGTGTAAATATAAGTTTTGATTAGATTGAAATACTGACTTATATATGGTCGTGTACAATCTAATAATTTTTCATCTATCAAGCCTGAAATCTTTGTGGATTCATAACTCTCTCTTATTTTGCTAGTTAAAATTTTACTTGCATCTTCACTAGTTAAATTCCCATTTGCCTATCAACTGTTTTTTTAATGCAAAAAGATTTCTTTTAATTAAGGAGGGTAGGATGTATGCTTGGGTTGTGTCGTGGAATTAATGAGATTATTGCTTGAAGTATTACTATTAAGTTTGCATTTCCGGTAGCTTAAAGCTACATGCACACCAAATGTTCGATGAAATGATTTATCTACATTGCCATCACTTTTAAATGTTGCATTTACATGTGCATTTCTGTTACTTAATGTAGACACTAAAATTTTAGTGGGCTTTGGTTTTGATAAATGGACCCATTAAATATGAGCCTAATGTTTAATTAAGTTATTTAATTGGCCCAAACTTGATCCACTTAAATTCTTTAATTAGTCCAGCCCAGATGGTTAAATAAACAGATAATTATTCCTAATAAAATATATTTAGAATAATTATTTTTAAGGATAATTATCATAATATAACCGGCCCGACTCAGTTATAATTTTATTCTTATCAGGAGATAACATGTGTCATCATCCTTTCAACCCAAGAAGCCTATAAATAGAGGCCTGGAGGAAGAAGGAAATGGCACACAAATTCAGAGTCCAGAAATTCAGAGACTCAGAAATCCAGAAGGTTCAGAAATTCCAAATCTGAAGGTGTAGAACAACAAGCACATCCAAAGCCGTGCCATTCTTCATCAAATTCAACAAATCATCTCTGAAGATGAAGAACAACAAGCACATCAAAAGCCGTGCCGTTTTTCATCCAAATTCCACAGTGATCAACAAAAAGCACATCAAATCGTGCCGTTCTTCATCCAAATTCCACGGTGATTCAAGATCAAGCTCGTGCAGCCCTTGGATCCAACCAACCAAAAAAGAGATCGAATCAGAGGACCTTATTCTTTGTAAAGATTATTACAAAGGATTGTACTCTAATTTATCCAAATTAATAAAATACTATATTTTGCCCATATTTTGTCTTTATTTGCAGATAACAAAATTTGTTTGTACAAATTTCTGGCACGCCCGGTGGGACATCTTCTACCTCTCATCTCTTTCTCCTACATCAAATTCTCAACAAATTCATCGTCAGATTCTATGACTTCCAATAAGATTCAGACGAAGAGCAAGAATACCACCAAAGACATCACAGTTATGATGGATAACATCAATACCATCACAAAAGGTGGCAAGAAGGTTACAACTTCGTCAAGTGGAGCAAACACCTCTGCAAGTTTAATGATGTGGAGCATAGCCAAATCTTCCGTTCCTGCCAAAAGACAGCACGATGCGATGAAAGTCAATTCTGCCAAATCTGTCAAAGTAACAACTCAAACTCATATCGCCTTCACCTCGCTGGAGGCAAGGAGGAAGGTTTCTACAACCTCAAAGGTTGCTTCAGTCACAAGTTCAAGTTCCACCACGTTGGGGGCAAGGAGGAAGGTTCCTACAACCTTAAAGGTTACTCCAGTCACAAGTTCAAGTTCAAGTTTAAGGCTGGTCCACCCAAGGCCAAAGATTTTTTTTCTGACTCCATCACTATGCTAGTCATGATGACGAGTACGACCTCATACGAAGAGCAATTGACGACTATGGTCCGTGCAATTGAAAGGTTACAACATTCTCTCAAGGAGCAAGATCTGAAATTGTCTCACTGACAGAAAAGTTAAAATTGCGTGACGACAATGCTAAGTTAAGCAAAGGCCGAATTTCTCATTCTGATTCTATGCTAGAGAACACTCCAATTGATGATCAAAATGACGTGTCCGCCAATCCAACAATTGATGCTGCTTCCGTCACCTCACTTTCCGTCCAACAACTTCAAGACATGATAGTGAATTGCATAAAAGAACAATACAGTGGCGTTCCTTAAAGTGCTCGCATGTAATCAAAGCCTTACACAGAAAGAATTGACATCTTAAAAATGTCGATTGGGTATCAACCTCCAAAGCTTCAACAGTTTGATGGAAAAGGCAATCCCAAGCAACATGTCACACACTTTATAGAAACTTGCGGCAATGCTGGTACAAACGGAAATCTCCTTGTCAAGAAATTCGTTCGTTCCCTCAAAGGGAATGCATTTGATTGGTACACAAACCTCAAAGTTGGAGGTATTGACAGTTAGGAGCAGATGGAACTAGAATTTCTGAACCATTTCTACAGCACTCGTCGTACTGTAGGTATGCTGGAGCTTACAAACACAAAACAGATGAAGGGCGAACCCGTGGTTAACTACATCAACCGTTAGCGAGCTCTAAGTCTTGACTGCAAGGATCGTTTGTCTGAAATTTCTGCAGTTGAAGCATGTATGCAAGGCATGCGTTGGGAGATTCTTTACATCCTAGAAGGGATTAAGCCTCGCACATTTGAAGAGCTTGTTACTCGAGCCCACGACATGGGGCTTAGCATGGAAAATCATGGTGCTAGAGAAGATGTTCCTGATATATCCGATAACCTTCAAGAAGATGAGAGAAGTGAGTCCGAAGAAGAAGACAATATATTTCCTAATTCGGATGACGAAGTAACCTCATCTTTTATTATAAGTATCAACTCGAAAGACTTGCATCAAGAAATGCACCATGCTACAACAATGACTTCAACCGAAAGTGCTAAATCACAAGGGGCATTAAGTCAAGGAAACCAAAAAGATATTCCTCAAAGTGACGACGAGATAGTCCGTACCCTTCATCATAGGCTTGGATTGTCATCTGATTCTTGCAAAGTTGAAGAATAATTAAAGTTGAAGTGCTCCCCAATACGAGCATAAACTGTCGATGACACTCCTTGATATGAGTATAAATTGTTTGTCTGAAAAGAAAAAAACAAATCAAGAACTCCTTGATATGAGTTTAAACTATCCTAAAAAAAAAAATAATAAAAAAAGACACATTCCTTGACACGAGTTTAAACTATCTACCTGGAAAAAATATCAATAACTCCTTGACATGAGTATAAATTATTTGCCCAAAAACAAAATTTCGATGATACTTCTTGACACGAGTTTAAACTGTTTACTTGGGAAAAAATAATAATAATAATAAAAAAATAATAAAATAAAATAAAATTTGTGAATTACATGATGACTTGATCCCTGTTTAGGGTATGTAGGCATCTTGGAAGTTTGTTCCAAGTTCAGTCAACCTAAAAAAAAAGGGGCAAAGTGTGCTCATCGCATGATATCAAAAGTGATTCGTTGCACCCTGTCAACTTGGCATGCCACCAAGGTATAGCTGCAAAGAAAATTTTGGTCTGTCGCCAAATTGTAGCTGCAAGGAAGAAATTTGGCTCGCTGCCAAAGTGTAACTGCAAAAAAGAATTTTGGTCTATTGTCATAGTTATACCTACAAAAGAAATTTTGATCTGGCGAAGTGTAGCTGCGAAGAAATAAATTGGTTCATCGCCAGACTGTAGATGCCTAGAAATTTGGCTTTCCGTTGAGATATCGTTGAAGAAAATAATTCTGCTCGTTGCCGAGGTGTTGCTGAAAGAGAAATTTGGCTTTCTATTGAGGTGTCGAAGGAAAAAATTTCGCTCGCCGATAGAACCTTGAAGAATATTAGTGGCTGTGCACCAACATTCGATGAATGCTTTGAATACATCTCCATGGTGATCATATAAAAACAGCTCGTCGATAGAACCATGAAGAATATTAGTGGCTGGGTACCAACATTCGAGGAATGCTTTGAATACATCTCCATGGTGATCATATGAAGACAACTCGTTGATAGAACCATGAAGAATATTAGTGGCTGGGCACCAACATTCAAGGAATGCTTTGAATATATCTTCATGGTAATCATATGAAAATAGGGAGGCAAATAGAGCACCATATAGTTGTTGTTTTGATAGAAAGTCGTGGAAACGCGCCAAGACATCTTCTAACCACTCCCAATATAGTTCGGTGTGTGGCAATTCAGCAGAAAGTATACAGGGAATACTCCATGATACTTCATTCGCCTGAACATTGAGACCCAAGAGTGAAAATTAGTTTTTCTCAACAACTCTCTCATGAAGTGAAGAATTTAATATCAAGGCTTTCGAGACAATGGATTCTTCATTAATCTAATCAAGACCAAAGTTGGTGAGGTCGCTTGTAACCTTGCGTGTCCAATGAGAAGAACAATGTTCATTGTCGGGATTAGGCATTTGAATGCGTGTCTAATGAGAAGAACAATGTTCATTGTCAGGATCAGGCATATGAATGGCATTGCGACCAAGAAGTGAGTCGGATACGCTTAATGTGGTTCCTTGGCTTCTTCGACTATTTTCGCTCTCTAAGGTAGTCATCCTTTGCTTCATAAAACACTTGACTACCACCATGGTGGAACAACAAACAAATTTGAAGCTCGATCAGTGTTGTCTGGAAGGACAATTTCAATTTCTGCTACAGCTACCAAAATCAAGTTGCTATACCCAATCAAGCCCTTCAAAAAAAAAAAAAAAAGGAAAGAAAAAAAAAAGGGAAAAAATTGCGTGAAAAAAAAAGAGAGAAAAAGGAAAGGAAAAAAAAGAGAAGAACAAATTTTGCGTGAAAAAAAAGAGAAAAAAGTTAAAAAAAAAAAGAAAAAAGAAAAAAGAAAAAAGAAAAAAGAAAGAGAGAAGAAAAAAATTACGTGAAAGAAAGAGGAAAAAAATTGCGTGAAAGAAAAAAAGAAAAAAAAATTGCGTGAAAAAAAACAAAAAGAGAGAAAAATTGGATGAAAAAAAAAAAGGAAAGAAAAAAAAAGGAAGGAAAGGAAAATATATATATATATATATATATATATATATATATATAATAATCGATATGATATGATATATATATATATATATATATATATATATCATATCATATCGATTATTTAAGTAGAGACCGCAATCTAATAAGTCTTCAGAGACTTTAGAATTGATGTCAAAACCTATAACATTGGTGGTATATATAGGTAGCAAAATATCTCTTATTTGTATT